TAAGAGTCTGAGGAGATTCTTGTAACCGTAACTAAGATGAGCCTTGGAAGATCTGGATGGCCTGGTTCTTGTTAGTCCTGGAGGGTCATAAATCCACCAAAGGGAACAGATCACAAGTATCTGCATCTTAACAAGAAAGACATGGTCATATTTATTTTTATAAGCAAAGTTTTATATAAGAACATTTTAAATAGAGATATTATTCCAAATACATATTTTACAGATAATAACATAATATTTTAAATCACAATTTAACTAGATGTAAAAGTGTTTGTGCAAAGGAAACAAAAATAATTGCACAGGTTGGCATTGGGAGAAGGGAAAGAGAACAAACAATCAATGGAAAATGTATTTATCTCAGGCACAAGACCCACCCAGCACCGGCTCCACTGAATTCTGTGGAGCAAAAGACTAGGCATGTCAATAATTTATCTAATGCCATGGATGAACATTTCCCCGAATTTCATTCTACCAGTTCTTTAAGATGGCAAATGAGAATATATTCTGCAAAATTTTGCTGAGAGAGGTAGAATGTGGTCTTACAGTGATTTAGTTACAAGTGCCAAAGGGATGAGGAAATATGTCCTGTATCTCATTGTACAAGGTTTAAGAGAAATCCCCACTGCCAATGACAACAATAAAATAAGCTCAAAAAAACCCACAAAAAAACAGGAAAGTTTGGGGGGAAAAAACCACGCATTCTAAAAAGAAAACGGAAGGACATCTTTATTTACAGTGGTCAAACAGTTGAGAAATTGCAAGGCAGATTTCAATGAAAAATTAAGTTGATCTGCATTTAACTTGAGAGTTTGACCAGACTAGCAATTTGCCATTTGCTTCTAAAAGTCCTACAGGCCTGGAGGAGAAACTGTAGAAAAATCACAGAGGCCAAGAAAAGAATTAGAATCCTATTTTTCATCTGCAAGCATTCTTTTTCGCCAACACTCTGCTTTTTCCCACTAAAAATTCTCAGTTCTGAAGATGATAAGCATGCACAACGTATACTAATTTTCTAATCCCAATAGACTAGAAAAACTAATCTCATGGATAAGTCTGCAGTAGTCCTCGACCTACAACCATTGGCTCAGCAATTTGAAATTACAGGGATTCTGGATGGGAGTTATGATGGGTCTTTGGAATTCCCTTCCCAACCGGCACTTCTTGTACACCCTTCCTTTACGACCGCATCACTCAGTGATGAAAATTTTGATCTCAGTTGCCATTGTAAATTGAGGACTACCCTGTATTTAAATTCAAGCCAATGCAAATACCCCTTCCTCTTCTAATCTAGCAATCATTCTTGAGGAAGGGTTGGTGATAACTGTCACCTGGACAGTATATATGCTCCCTCACTCCTAACAGAAATGAATATCCTCTATTTATACTTGACACCTAAATTGGACTTGAGGTTTCCTACATGTATTTATGCATACATGGAAACCTAAAATTAAAAAGCAATATGTTTAATTCTATGAAAACAGCCAAGTGTGCCAAACTCCACAAGATGTCAGTGTTCGACAATGAAATAATTCAAAATTTTAGATCAGAGCATGCAAAGCTTTGGCATTCACGTACAAGAACATGTGAAAAGTTGATATCTTTTTAAACAATTCATTTTTTTTTTAAAAAAAAATAACATTTGACCCTTGAAGAGTCTGCCCTACCCTCCTCTAGAATAAAATAATGCCACTTGAAGAGAAGTGATAGAAGAGCTACAATCAGTATAGATAAGGCACCTTTTATGGTGATTTCCATGTGTCAAACTGGGCTATTTGTGGTGCAGAGGACGTGCAGTGGAGAATAATGCCCCATCAATTTCACAAATGCCCATATGTTTCTCTGTTCATCAGGCAATGTTGACTTTTATGCCAAGAGCTTACCTCTCCATGCCTTGTAAAATGGTTGTGCTGCTTAGAAAATTCTAAGATTGTCAAATTATCCATCTGACTACTTTGAAGGTGCCAAGTTAGAAAACTATTTAAAGTATGTAATTCTAATTGTAATTAGTTGTAATGGTACTGACTGTAAGTTGTAATTTAATAGATTGTTGTCTTTCTGAAGATGATGTAACTTTCTTTGACTGAGCATGAGATGCTTACTCAGAACCGAAGGTTATTTTGGAAACACTTTAAAATCTAATTTCAACTCAATTCAGAAAATCAATTACATGAATTGTTAGGGTTTCCTGCCTGAGCAGGGAGTTGAACTAGAAGACCTCCAAGGTCCCTTCCAACTCCACTATTCTGTTATTCTGGTTGGAAAATTGACCCAACTGCCTTCAAGCTGAAAATCCAAATCACAGGTTTATGCTGTCCTAGTCATATCTTCCACATATGCAAAGTATTCCCAACTTAGACTGAAAGACATTTGTACTCCGTCTTTGGTTCATTTAGATGACATTATTTTTCTCATCTTCTGCTTTTTTGTAGTGTGTTAGAAATCCCTAAGCATGCTGAGAAATGTAAGTCACCAGCTGCAGCTATCAAGGCAGCTCTCCATGCCATTCCTCTCAAATGCCAATTTAACTGACATTTCCTAAACATGTACAGGTTAGCCTCAATTTCTTTGATACCTTTGCACCTCCTATTGAGCAAAATGGACAGTAAAATGCACTGTAAAGCAGCAGCTTTGTGGTACTCCAAGAAGGGGCATCATAATTCCTTCGCATTCTGTGTGTTTCTTGCAATAGGCAGGCAACATATAAAATCGTGCGGATGTGGAAAAGTGTATCAAGGTTGGGGGTTTTTTTGCAGTGCTTTTTTCATGTGAAAAATGAAGAAGGGAGAGGGAAGAAACATGAATGGAATGAAAACTGAGCAAACAGTGTCACTTCCTCTTCCACATAAAAATACAATGGAAAATTAAAGAAAGGATCAATCATTCAAAACATAAGGAATGGTTGCTGGAATTGGGTATGTCTAGTTTAACGAAGAGAAGGACGAGGGGGGACATGATAGCAGTCTTCCAATATCTCAGAGGCTGCCACAAAGAAGAGGGAGTCAAGCTATTCTCCAAAGCACCTGAAGGCAGGACAAGGAGCAACTGATGGAAACTAATCAAGGAGAGAAGCAACCTAGAACTAAGGAGAAGCTTCCTGACAGTTAGAACAATTAACCAGTGGAACAACCTGCCTCCAGAAGCGGTGAATGCTCCAACAATGGAAGTTTTTAAGAAGAGACTGGACAGCCATTTGTCCAAAATGGTATAGGGTTCCCTGCCTGAGCAGGGGGTTGGACTAGATGACCTCCAAGGTCCCTTCCAACTTTATCATCATCATTATTATTATTATTAAAAGCTTACAAACTCAGAAAGAAATTTAGATATGGAGGATTTCAGAAGTAGCCTTATTTAAAACACTAAAAAAAATACAAAAAAATCAAAGTACATAAAATTATGTACTTTTGGTTCTGTTCCTTGACCTGTTTTTTTTTTTTTCAAATCACTTTAAATCTATTGGCTCCTATTGATATTATCCCAATATCTCCTTTAGTCTCACAACTGACCTTTTCAAACAGTAGCACATTAAAAAAAAACCCATTGCATTGCTTTATGAAATCCTGCCTCCCAACCTTTCCTATCATTTTAACCCATGAACAATTTGGCTGCTTAATGAAAATGTTATCCTCGAAAGGTCTAAGCATTTAAAAAAATTTTTTATTGTAATGTAACAAAAAGGAAGTACTTAAAATTAGCTCCAAGGGAATCTCAGCCTATTCAATGCTAATAATGAAATCCTATTATTTAGAGTTATCAGCTCTTCAGATCTGTCTCTATCTCTCCTTTTAAATAATCAAGAATATTATGCAGCTCAATGTTTAATTATTGGGTCCTTGGTGTTCTCTGAGATTGTTTTTTTTTCCTGCAGATGGTTCATTACTTTTTCCCTTTATGAGAAGGTTGATCTGCAAGAATCAGTGGGAGAAGATTTTGACAGCATGGAAGCCTATTGCAGATTACAGCTGGTCCTTTAGAATTATACTCAGGGGTACCCATGGGGAGGGGGTGTCAAAAAGTCCAGATGAAAGCTGAGCCATGCCGTAAATGCCCTGCCTCTTTTAATGCAGATATGTAAAAAAAAAAGGGGGGGGGTTCAATTGCATGATCAGAGCCACTATCTTGATGGCTCTGCTGCAAATGTCCTAGGTAAAAGGCACCAGGAACTCCACTTCTTTATCTCTCTTGTATTTTTTAAAAAATCTATTCCTTTTCTCTCAAACAACACCCCAAAAGGGTTAAACATCTCTATTAGAAGCCTGAAAGGCTCACTTGCCAATGGCTTTTGAAATCAAGCCAAAGGTCACATGTGGCCTTAGGGAATATGAGCAGAGTCTAGTGAAAAAAGTTGGCACAGCTAATAAAATTGTACCTTGAAAAGTCCTTGAGCAATAAACAATAGGTGCTAGACTTCTTAAGTCTCATCTGTGCTTCCTGTTTGCACAGGTAGAGAGAAGATTTAAAGAGATCGGCTTTTGCTCATGTCAAATAATCTGGTGGCATCGTGCAAGACTCGGTCATTTTGTACTCCAAGAGAATATAGTGGTTAATTCAATAGGCAGGATAGTTTCTGTTTCCACTTGCATCAAGCATCAAAAAAAAAAAAACCCTTTCTTTTGTTTTGATTTTGTCCACAGTTGGCAATGATGGGGGGGGGGGTTTAAATCCCATGGATGCATCATTTGCTTCTATGCATCTTTTGGCTCAGTTCACAATTCACAAAATCATCCCAACGCTAGTAGGATCTCCCCATTTGATATCCAAAGATATAATGGAAGAACACTGAAGATCTTCCTATGAGTTCCCATCCTTACTGCAGGTGACGCTGTCCCCAAAGTTAACACGACATTCCACACTGCAGAGGAAGTATTAGACTTGTGGAAAGAAGTCGCCATTCAGTTTTCCTTTGCAGATATGGAAACCAAGAAAATGGAAAATGTTTTCTTTGAAATCAGAGAATCAGTATTATTTCTGATTCTTGGGTTTTTTTTTTTCATACCCTGAGATTACTTAGTGGGCTTCAGTGCCTGCAAACAAAAGCAAACAGATGTTGAAATAAATGACAGAAAACAAAGCATTATAAATTGATTCAAGCCATCAATCCTAAAAGTGGAAAACAAACCAGAGTGGAATAGGGAAGGAAGCAATAAACAGGTAGGAGTCCTGCACTAGCTATTGCCAACTATAAGGGGCAATGCTCATCTCTGTTTCAAGGCCATTGTCCCAGTGTAGTCCAAAGACACTTCCGTGGTCATGTGGCCAGTATGACTGTATACTGAGGTGTATGGAACAATGTAATCTTCCCACCGAAGTGGTACCTATTTTTCTGCTCGCATTTGCATGTTTGGCAGGAGGTGGGCAAGGACGAGAGCTCACCCCATGATGTGGCACTTGGGTCTTGAAACTGAGCGGCCAACTTTCCAGCCAACAAGCCCAGCATCTTAACCACTTAGCTACTGCGCCACAATAAACAGGTAAGGAAGAGACATTTTCCCCATCCAAAATAGCAATAGCTTTTCTTTTGTTGTTTTGATTTTTTTCTGAAAAAATATACTCTATGTGTATTGATTATGATAGCTTTAGACTAATCAAGTGGAAGACCATGCTTTTTTTTGGGGGGGGGGGAATCAGTGGGAGAAGTAATATCCAACAGAGCCAATATGCACCCATCCATCCAAGTCTCCAGAGTGCTTTATTTTAGGAATTAACCGCCAAACAAAGAACTAGTAGATTTAGTTCCATTTGTCCACAGATATCTTCTTCATCTTAGAAAGGCAGTTTCTCTGAACTAAATTATTTGACTTTGGAAATGTTAGCTTAGATGTCACAATACCCTTTGTACTATTCTTGTTAATGATCCGTGCATCGAAGATCATATGTTGCATTTTCCAATAATGGCACTTTTCTGCCCAAATATAATCTTGTCGCATGAGAACCAAGTGTAGCCTCTCAATCTTTCTACCTCTCCCAATTAAAAAGTGAAAGAGAGGGTGGATGCAGAGTGGGGGGGGCTGCCAAGCTGCTCTGAAATTTTTATGTCTGTATTTAATATGATTTTTTTAATTAATGTATACCATATTTGTATTAAGACTTTGGGGGGGGGGTTAGTTGAAAAATTAATAAAAAGTTTTTATTAAAGAAAAAAAAGTCATAACTCTATGTTTTAACATCTTTATCATTTTTGTATTTTCACAGAGTACCTGTCTCTTACCTGGGGTGGAGGTGGAGGTGGAGGAGGAGCTGGCTTAGACTTGAGGTGAGAAGAAGGAGCTGGATTTATTCTTTTTATCTATAACAGAAATGACAGGTTATTCCTGTTAAATATTAACCAGTCATTTACTATATGTGGAGTATATTATTGCTAAACTGCCATTTGCAAACAGCCAAGAATCCTTGGTTGATTCAGTAGTTTATAGCTTTAACAAGTAAACAAATAAAGTTACAAATAAATGTTTCCATTGAATTTCTCTTGGTCGCTGACTTTACACTTGCCTGCACCAGGATTTGTATGGAAAGTTGACGGTCATATTTGAAAAGTTTAGGGTCATTTTTGTGGGGTTAGATTTGGAACTTTAATGGATGAGACCTTAAGTACCAAATGAAAGAGGGCCAAGCATTTTGCTCCAGGACATTCTGAATACAATTTGGCAGCTGCAACACTGATTATGGAAGGCCATTTTTAATCTCTGGTTAACCTTTGGTACAGTCCTGATCTAAAACTTGGTTTGGTTGTAAAAAAGAACAGCATCAAGGAGTACAGATGTTATTGTGATATATAACATTTCAATAAATGAACCAGCTTCTGCCTAATGCCCACATTCTGGCACCATTCTTGGATAATTTATCTGCAAGAAACGTTGTAACCCAAGATCTTCAGAGTTATGTGTTTAAACAACTTAGCTGATTATAAAGAGTGGAAATCACAGCTTGAAAGGCAATCCATGACGAAGGGTTACAATTTTTGCAATAAGATTGGATGACTTCAGGTTTTTTTATGGGAAGTTGTTTCTTTGAAAAAGGAACGTTCAAGGATAAAAATCTTGAAAGTGAATATTTTTTGGGCCCCTTAAGTTCATATACGGAGGAAGTATTTTAATAATGGAACATGGTCAAACCTTTTCCCATTAAAATTGGAGTTTGAACAAAGTTTGCATGGGAATACTATTACTTTGTCACTGTACAGAAGAGCAGGCAGAATTGGAGAGTGGAGTTAAATGCTTTATCAGTTTAGAGTCCCTGCAGTGTCACAAGAGCCCCCCCCTTGAATTCTGTTGACCCTTACCTAGTGCCAATTTAGTGTTGACCATTAGTTGACTAGATTCTTGTGTATAGGTTTGAATAAATCTTCTATGCTCCAACTTTATGAACGATCCTGTTTCTTTGTGCCTGACATTAAACTCATTTAACTCCATCCCCCCCCCCAGCTCTGCCTGTTCTTTTCCTACAGTTACAATCATAGGTTAACTATCCTAAGTAGATGGATATTGAAGAATAAGACCATAATGCAACTCAACATACAAATGGCAATTCAACCTCCCTTTAAAAAAGCATCAGACCTAGATCTGATATGCAACATTCCAAAGGCTTTATGTCCTTTCTCGGCATTAGGAAGAAAAGACTGAATTACTGCCTGTATTCAACTAGCAGTTTAAGCTACTATATGGATAGGCACAATCCCTGGAGGGTCGGGGGCCATTAAAAAAAACCCACCAGTTGATTTTTTTTTCCTCCCAGTGCAGTTCTTTGCCTTATTTTTCATCCGGCAGTCTGGAAAAGTGAAAACGTCACACTGGCTAGAAGGAGTTATTATCACAAAGCTTCACCCTAGCATCCTGCTATAAAGGAACAAAATATGTTGGAAGAGTGATGATTAGGAAGCTGACATACCATAGCTGGAGATATGGTGGATTTTGCTGTTGGAACAGGAGGTGGAGGAATATTTGGTTTCACAATGGGCTGAAATGAAAAAAAATGAAAGTTTTTTTTTAAGTTGCCTTTACACACAGTAGTCCAGATGCATTTTAAAAAGTGCTTTCAACGTTGATCACATTTCCTGTCAGGCTTAAAATCTGAGTCATCTGTCTGCAACAAAAATTAACCTTTATTCCCTTTCTCCATCAAATGTGCAGTTGTATGAACTCGAAAGTCTCAGCATTTTCACAAAGCAAACAATTTCCATGGTTCTTTGAAAAAAGCTCTAACAGAAAATTCAGATGTAAATCCTCAACAAATGTGTTCAATATCATAGGATCATAGACTGTATGAAATGTGAATATAGAATAGAATATATGTGGAGTGTGTAGTGGTACGTGAGGATGACCTTGGGAGATAAGAGGAAGAGATGCTGCCTAAAAAGCAAACAGACAAGAGAGGAAATAGCCCCCCAGTATCTTAGAGGAAAAAGGAAGAAACTTAGGAAGGACTCGCCTTAACTGATTAGGTAGTTAAAGTGATGGTGGGAAGTTTGTACTTTTAGAGTTGTAAGATTTTGCGAATGTAGCCTTACAATAAATTAGAATAAGTTAGTCTTTCTTTCCTGCCTATTTTGCCTAGGAGAGATCACAGACTGGTCTATGGCTATCCAACCCCTAGTTGAAAAACATCCATAATGGGGAGTTGCCACTGTTCTAATCAGATTCTTCACTAATATTCAGCCTCATTTTTTCTTTCTTGGCATTTCAATTCACCAAGGCATGTTCCAATTATTTTCAACAGAGGACAGGGCTATTTTCTCTAGTATACGACAGCCCTTTAGATATTTGTAATTCTTTGTCAATGTCTGGCACTGAGTTTTTTACATTCTGTAACAAACCAAACATCTCCACTTTCCCAGTTCCTTCCTCTTTCCAAAGGACAGAGGTTCCAAGCCTATCATCCTGATAGCTCTTTTACAAGATAATCCTTTGTTGGAGTCACATGGGCAAGATATGAGGATGTTAGCATGCCTTCCATATAGAGGCACCAATGGGCGTTCAGTGTGCCTTGCCATAAAAAAAATCCTTTCCTCAACTAGAAGAAGTGAATGTATACATGAATCTTGCTGGTTCTCAGGAAACTGTATCTAGTAGGATTCTAGAGCTCTGCAGAGGTTATAAGGAGTGATCTTGGAGGATAGGAGGAAGGGGCTTGACACTTGAGCCTGTGTCAAGGAGATAGCTGTAGGAAAAGAAGAGTCATAACCTGGAGGTGGAGTCAAGAGAGGAATCAGTCTGGAGTCCTTACATTCCCATAGGAATTCAAGTCCAACCCCTCTTGAATTCCATTGACTTTTATCTAGCGCCATAAGTGCTGACCATAAGTTGACTAGATTCTTGTGTATAAGCACGAGTAATAAATCAGCTTAATTGGAACTTAGCCTATGGTCCTGATTCTTCACACCTGATAATAACTTAAGAAAACATCCCAGACAAGTTCCTCCCTTTTTCTCATGAAGATAAAATGAGGAAGGAGGAAACACACTCACACTTGCAAGATTCCATTACTCTATTGCAACAAAGATAGTCTTGACTTACAGTATATGTAAGATAGTGATCTAACCTCAAACTGATTTTCTATATCACTCAATCTTTGCAACACTCTCCATAGTGTTTTTAAAGCATGGTGCCCAAAACTATACCTAATATGTTCAACAAACAAGATTTAACCAGCCAGAATTCAATGGAACCATTAAATCCCATGATCTGGGCACAACGCTTTTATTAATACAACCTAAGAAGTGCCTTAAAGTATTTTAGCCACTGGATTGTCCTATTCTATTTATCATTAGCAGTATTGCAACAAAAACTGATCAAGGGATGCATTATTTGCCATGAAGTCACCTAAATGCCCTCTGGCTACATATATCCCTTTGGGTATTGATATACTTCACTCATTAAGATTGACTTGTCATTGGCTATTTTCTTAAAATCTGCCTAATTCAGAACAGAATTAGAACGTTATTGGGTAATTGACAATAATTTGCATCTCCAATTCATTTGTTACCAGTTTATGAAAAGACTTCTGCTGTAAATGCACTATATACTATAGCCCATTAATATTATATTAATGGACAGTTTCACATATCCGATGCAGTTTCTTTACTTTGTCTAGATTTGCTTCCTAAAATCATGTTTGGGAAATTTAAGCATAATACTCCATGTTAGTGTTTGTAGATAAAGAATAGTTGATTTCTTATCTTCAAAAATACTCATCCCATATGATTTTTACTTTTCTATAGGCTATACAGAATAAGGCATGACACTCCAAAAAGAAAAAAAAATGTCAGGGAATTAGAGTCAGAAGCAATGTCTGTCAGTATTCTGAAATTGTTAGATCAAATGACCATTCATTCAGAAACTTACCATTCTGGAATTTTCATATGTGCGCCTTAATGGTTCATCTGGGATTTTCTGTTAATAATGAAATAGTATCAGTTGAATCAGTTGAATTTCTAAAACCCTGTGTGAACTCCCTAATTTAGTAGAACTCCTTTATGACAGAATCATGATGTTTCTAAAACACTGCAAATTATGCAGATTATCCCTACTCTATACAGGGATTTAGAGTGTAGAAAGCAAATAATAATTTAAACTATCACTTATTGTGTTTCAGAACAATAGTGTGGATTTTTCAAGAATCAAGTTTAAAAGTCTGCAGATAATTTGTTTTTCATTTGCAACATTCTAGATCATCTTGGCTTGAATTCTTGGAACTATCCATATATCTTAAAGTTGCCAAGTTTGAAAAACTTTTTCTTATGTGCATATCTATTTTTCTAAAGTACAATTACATTCTCTCTATATTTGCTCATAAAGAAGTACGTTGAGTCCAATGGGTATTGCAACCAAATTAACATTAATAAATTACAAAGAATTTTTTTCGTATTTGTTTAAAATCCTTCCCATTTGTCAAGTAACTACATTCACATATCACAAAAAGCTATAATTTGTTCTAATCATAATATATTGTACGAGCCACAATGCTTAGTTTACATTAAACCATAAACCATGATTGATAAACCACAATAATGTGATCCACAGATCATGTTAATGTGAAACAAAATAAAACTTATTTGACTCAGGGTAACATATACATTTATTCACACCAGTGCATAATACACAGCATATTTTATTTGCTTTGTGAAATGTATTTATTTATTTTGTTTGTTAACTAAAGACTGCTTTAGACTCATACACAAGAATTATTCCATTAAATTCTACTTACAACATGGACCTCTGGTGTATTTGCTTGGGATGAAATTGGGAGGAGAAATCTAAAAGAATTTATCTGAAAGGAAGAAACAAACAAAATACCTAAAATATTTTTAAAGCCAAGATCTTCAAACACTCAGCCAGATGAGTTAGAAGCCTAGTAGGTGCACTTCCACACACATACAGAATTCCATTAAGGTTAACCTTAATTATTTTGTGGCTTGCTTTCTTTGCAAACACATTTTATTGAGTTTATTTTGCAAATGATAGTTCAGTATTTATAGCAATTGTGTTATTCTTGTTTTTGAAAACAACGAAGAGTTGTGTTTTATCTTAAACAATAATTGGTTGATTGACCTTATCTTACAATCACAGCAACAATGACAACATTTCCCTCTGTCTATAAGAAATAAAAAAATGCAAATATTTTGTCTCTGTGTTGATGAAAAGCTCCCATATTCTTTTTATTACACTGTTTTGGCCTTTGATCAGTTTAGCACAGTTTCAGCATCTCATTTCTTGCTCTAAGCCAGTGGTTCTCAACCTGTGGGTCGGGACCCCATTTGGGGTCGATTGACCATTTCATGGGGGTCACCAAGCAAGGCTGTCCGCCATTTTTTTTGTCCGCCATTTTTTTCCCCTTTTCCGGCATGTGCCTTACCTCCCTTGGGCTGGGCCAGCTGGTGGTCGGCCTGCTCCGTCTCTGCCGCTTGCCAGCTATGCCTCGGCCGGCGCAGGGGGCGGAACCACGCATGCACGGCGCTCCCGGGCAGGGAAAGTCCTCGACTTACGACCGGTTGGGTAGTCCTTGACTTACGACTGGTTTAGTCCTCGACTTACGACCGGTTGGTGTCGTGGCATTAAAAAGGTTGAGAACCACTGCTCTAAGCATTGTGCATGGGGTGAAGAGCCTCTAAACCCACCCTGGATCCCAATTCCTTAAACTGCCACTGGGGAACCATTCTTCTTATGACCTATTATGAAGCCAATGGATAAAACATGTTGTAAAATGGTTGTATTTCAGGGTTTTATTCTGCTCAGGCAGCCCATCTGACCTCTCACCTCTGAATCATTGGACATTGGACTAAGATGTTGTTTCCTCTTCTGATCTGGACCAGGGAAAGAAGGATTTGTGGCTGCAGGTGCACTTTTGTGAATGCTGTCATAAAAGAATAGACTATTATAATCAGGATAGGATTTCGAACTATACCCAACACCAAAGTCAATAACAATATCCTAGAACTTGTTTTGTACACATATAGTATAGTTCAGTTCTTTCAGTAACTTCGGCGAGAGATTTCCTGAAATGAATATCCCCTTTATACAGCTTTTTCCAAGTCAGTGTATGTTCATCCTCTCAATTAAGTCAGGAGAACCCACCACTACTGTTTTATGGCACTCAGCTCACCTAGTAATTCCCCCCCACCCCACTTAAAAGAAACTTGTCTGAGAAAATCTTCACCTGTCATTTTGTTTCTTCTTTAAAATGTGGCAGCCGATGAGAACTGCAAGGAGGATGGCCGTGACTACTGAAATTATTACCACAACTACAACAATGATGATGATATCTAAAGAGATAAAGAGAAAAGGCTATGAATAGGCTTACAGTTATGTTGATGAAATCACAGTGGAAACATAGAGACAATCAATTGAAAATTATATTGCTCCAAGCCCTGGCATTTCTTATCCATGCAATAAGAGCCACTGTTCAGAATTGGCTAGAAAGTATTTATTGATTCAATTTAGGTGCCACCCAGCTCAGAACCAACTCTGGGCATCAAATTTAACCTAAGAAGATAAGTAATATAAATGTCATTTCATGAATTACTTTAACTAGTGACCATCCCTTTAAGACTAACACAGTCTAACCCTACTCCATGACCTTTAGATGTGCTGGGACTAAAGTTCCCATATTGGTTAATAATTCTGGTTCAAGGAAGGTCCAACTTACTCCCAAGATAGTCATGTAAATGGATGTACCAGGATAATTAAGAAAGCAAATGATCATCTGTTAAATATATGCTTGGACTTTCATTATTAGGTAGCTTTAAATTAATCACAATCTTGCTATCCATAGTTAATTAAATTGCAAATAGAGTTAAACTTATTTTTCCCTTCCTCTCTTCATTTCATGTGCACAATGAGATTAAAAATAGAATTTCTAATTAAAGTATAGTTTGCTGATAGTTAACGATACCAGTGCTAGATAATAATACAAAAACTGAGATATCAAATGCTAATTCAAATCAGGATTATTTAACACACACAAAAATCTGTTTAGGTCCTTGGAACCTATCTAATCAGTGTCAAAGCAAGAACATCCGATGTTAACAGCGTTGACATCTGCTAACGTCGGATGTTCTTGCTTTGACAATCAGGTTCTGGGAAGAAAAGACAAGTGCCCCCCTGTATTAACTCACAATTATTTCCTGTTGGGTCATCACAGTGAGGTGGTGCTGATCCTTCTTCGCACTGGCACTGAAGTTCATGGTCACACACCTAGGATAGCCAAGAGCAGTATTAATCTTCAAAACAAATACAAGGAAAAACAAGCAGTCAACATTTCCCTTGCATTTTTATGAAGTCCGAAGAAAGCGGAAAGCATTGAAACATAAAACTGATCCAAATTAGGCAGACAAAAGAATGGAAATCCATTTAAAACATCCCACACAGAAAAAGAAATTAATGGTTTCTACCAAAGCTGTTGGGACTGTTTAGATAGTCCCAAAGACTATCTAAACAGCCAAGTCACTATTCTTGAGGATCAACTGAGTTATTAGACTAAGTCTAACAACAGCCCAGCATGGACAAGGTGTTTCTTTTTTGAAATTAGAACTGTGGTCAAAGAACTTCTACAGGACAGCAGGACGAAAAGACTGAAATCAAGCTTTGAGATTTCTTGTGATGGTCAAAGTTATCAGGAAAATATTAACTTAGAGCAAATAGACCTCTGTTTACTTTCCTTCCTTCCATCCATCCATCCATCTAGTTTTTTGACTGTCCCATTCCAATCAGACTCTATCAAAATGTACCAAAATTAAAATAGCACAATGATGTTAATTCAAAAATGATGAGGTAGAACAATATAATTCAATACAATAAAAATTAATTTTGGTGTTGGTTGGCTCTACCTTTAGTCCTCAAAAACCTTCTGAAAGTGCCAGATCTTTGCGATCTCTCAAAGGCCATAAGAGAGGGGACATTCTCATTTGATGTATTGGTATTTGATTATTCCAGTTTATGACAGAGGACCATCTCTTTCTAAGCTCTACTCAAATTTACAGAAAAAAAACTGCAATATTTTTAGCGTCAAGGATTCTGGAAAGCACTTTTTAGGGGTAGATGGGTGGTCTTTATTTGTTTAATACAACAGAACAAAGAAAAAAGAGAACAATACCACAGAAAAAAGAAAAGAATAGAAAGGAAATTATGTAAATTATGCATATACGCATACACATAAAATTATGTAAATTATGCATATACGCATACACATAATCTATAATAATCATAATAATACTCATTTTCTTTTTAGTATAACAAAAATATTTAGACATAGATGTCAACATCATCACAAGAACATTTACAAATACACTCTAGTGGATTATTTGCAGATGCTTCAGATTTATGCCAATATCAAAAGAAACCATGGCTTATTTTCAGGGATCAACATATGCATTGTTCTAGAAAACCCAGACTGGTGGACAGTGGGGTGTGATAAAAGGAACCAATGAAACAAAAAAACCACACTGGAGAAAACCAGAAGAACAAAGAGGAGCAGAGAATACTGTGAAAGACAAAGTGAAATCGCCAAATATATGGGCGGAATACAGTACAAGTAGACCTCAACTTATGACCACAATTCAGCCCAACATTTCTGCTGTTAAGTAAAATGTTTGTTAAGTGAGTTTTGCCTGATCTTACAACTTTTCTTGCCACGGTTGTTAAGTGAATCACTGAAATTGTTAAGTTAGTAACACGGTTGTTAAGTGAATCTGGCTTCCTCATTGACTTTGCTTGTCAGAAGGTCTCAGAAGGGGATCTTGTGACCCCTGGGACACAGCATCAGTCATAAACATGAGTCAGTTGCCAAGCATCTGAATTTTGATCACGTGACCACGGGGATGCTACAACAGTCGTAAGTGTGGGAAACGGTCATAAGTTGCTTTTTTTAGCTTTGAACGGTCACTAAATGAACTGTTCTAAGTCGAGGATTACCCTCTAAACTTTCTATAGGCCAATCCTTAAGCAGAACAGTCTTAAAGCCTACTAACGAGCAGGGAGAATACTTCAGCCAGAATATAGACTATAAAATACTTACAGAGTGTCCTGTGCATTTGTGTGAACAGTTGGTCGATCTGTAGGCTGTTTCTATCTCAACACACTGCCCGTTGTTGCAGACCTGAAAGTCAACGAATGAGATTATCAGCAGAGTAAGACAGCAGTTTCCTACACAACTAAACTCTCTCATTCTCTAGAACAAAACCAGGATATTCAATAAACTTATTCCAAGTTCTATACTGCGTAAAAAAGACAGGGGGGGGGATTATTCCTGATGCTTTAGGATTGCTTCGGCACTTCTAAGTAGCTTCATTGAACTGATGTACTTTAGGTCAGAGGTCCCCAACCTTTTGGGCACAAGGGACCAGTTACGTGGAGAGAGGTTTTTCCGTGGACCGCAGAGTGCGTGGTTTTGTATGCTGCCTGCATCTCGTGGATGGGACTTTCCTTGTTTGTGCAGATCGGTTGCTAGCATGCCACGGCCCGGTACTGGTCCACGGACTGGGGGTTGGGGACCTCTGCTTTAGGTCACAACCAGCTCTGTCCTGATTTTCTAATCTCTGTTCCATCTTCCCTGTGGAAATATCTACAAGTGAAGAGAAAGGACTGTCTCTTTGACAGTCTGCCCAGAAAGTGCTGCAAGGGAGAAGCATAATGCTCTGACAAAGCCAGACTGAGTAACCCTGGGGGCACAGGGATTAGAATGCAGTACTATGGGCTAACTCTGCCCACAGCCTGGAGTTCGATCCTAATGGGCCTCAAGGTTGACTCAATCTTCCATCCTTCCACGGACAGTAAAATGAGGAGCCAGATTGTTGGGGGCTGTGTGCTGACATTCTAAACTGCCCAGAGAATGCTTAAAGCACTATGAGGTGATATATATAAGTCTAAGTGCTATTGCTACTGTTGATTTGTCGTGGTTGTTGTTTGAAGAAAAAACAAAATAATAAAACAAAAACAAGGCTAGATGGATATTTTTTTTTAACATAGATGCACTGTAGTACAGAAAATCTAAACCAGCTTTCAGCAAGATCCATTGCAAAATTATTTTTACTGATTACCCCTTACAGCACAGAGATGAGAAGCAATCTTTTACTCACCATTCCTTCTCCACATTTTGTTCCAGGATCAACCATTCCAACATCTTTTGCATTTCCTCTCGGAAAGCTGCCTTTGCATGATTCAAATGACACCAGGCTTCCGGCTGAGGGCATTTTTGAACCACCTATGCAGTATAACTTGCCACATTTTAGATCCCTGAAAAGGAAACAGCCACTTCCTTCTAATTAACAAGAATGGATCCTTTGCTCATTTGCCAACATCAATCATTCTTGAATTAACCTTATTTTAAATTACAGCTGGATGATCCGAAGTTTGCTCAGCCTCAAAATGAACTTGGTTGCATTTAAGAGATAAACTAAAAAAAAAAAATCTCAAGAAGTGTTTTAAGGTGTTTTTTTTGGGGGGGGGGATAGAGAAACACAGTTTCTGTATTTCTAACTAGCTCATGTGGTTTCCCTATTTTTGAGGGTGGAAATAGTTTGAGACAGAATTCTTATCTTAGGACAGGGAATGTACTGTATCTGTTATCTACCTGAAAAACTCCTAAAGCAGATTCAGGAGGCTTGATTTTTCCAGACCTCTAGCCTAACATTCTCATAATCTCTCATGTGAGTTGAAATCTAAAGGTTGGGGCAGCAGCATTAAATATCAGAGAGAGAAATTTCCCTGAAAAATGGCCATTATTCCATTTCAACTTAAGAAAAATAAGGGGAAAAAAGAAATTAAAGATTTAAATAAGTACTGCCCTTGTTTTAGTACAAAAAAAAAGGGTACAGGGTGTAAACTGTCTAAAAGGCAGAGTCCGGTTTACACATGTCACTAAAAGAAACTATGGCTTATTGTTTGATTTGGATTCAACTTGTGGTGCAAATCTAGCCCTTGTGGTTTCTAAATCATGGTTTATAACTAAGTGCAATTCCTAAACTCAGCCAACCAGGATTTATTCAATAAGATTGAAACAAACTATTGCTGGGTGATGTCAGCCCAGAGAGAAAGGCTGATTGTGCAGTAGTCCTTGACTTATGACAACTGGGACCAGAATTTCCATTGCTAAACAAAGCAGTTGTTAAGCGAGTTGCACTCAATTTTATAACCTTTCTGCCATAGTTGTTAAGTGAATCACACTGTTGCCAAGCAAACCCAACTTTCCCCATTGACTTTGCTTATTGGAAGCTGGCCGGGAAGACGGAAAATGGTGATCATCTGACCTCGGGACCCTGCAGCCCTCATAAATACATGTTGGTTACCAAGCACCTGAATTTTGATCACATGACTATAGGGATGCTAGGACCGGTTGTAAGTCACTTTCAGTGTTATAACTGTGACTGATTGCAAGTTGAGGAATTTCTGCCCTTTCTCACACAATCTTTCAAAGGGCACTTTAAAAGTTCTCATGGTCTCCTTTTATACCCCACTTTTGCTCCATCTTGTAACCCAAGATAGAAAACACAGAAAAATTAGCCATTCAGAAATTGACTCATATTTCTGTTGTTTTAGTAAAATGATAGAATCAGGTTCCCACAGATGTGGACCTGGAAATATTTCTTATATTACTTTTACAGGATACCATCATCATAACAGGAAATAATTTAGACTGCTTACTTTGGTTTACATGGAATATATGTGCCACTTGCTTTTCTGCAGTGGCCATAATAAACCCCTTTCTGGTTGATTGAAAAACAGGAATCTGCAGCCACTTTTCCACCTATAAGAGGGAAAAAACACAAATACCTGAGTGTGTAACATGCCAACAGGATAAAGAATGGCTCAAGACATCTCAGAGGAGTTCCAAATAATTTAGTTAATGTTCACTTATATTTTGTAACCCATTCCTTATCTAATCCTCATTATGCATGAAGTATTCACTATCTATATCCAGTTTTGTTCAACGTGATAGAAAAAAGTTGCTGAAACCCTAGAAAGAGCGCAGAGAAGAGCAACAAAAATGATCAGGGGTCTGGAGGCTAAATTGTATAATAAATGGATACGGGAACTAGGTATGAAGAATTATGGGTGGCATGATAGCAATCTTCTAATATTTGAGGGGCTGTCATAGACAAGATACCTGAGGGCAAGACAAGAAGTAATGAATGGAACCTTATCAAAGAGAGAAGCAACCTAGAATTAAGGAGAAATTTCCTGACAGTGAGAAGAATTAATCAGTGGAACAACTTGCCTCCAAAAATTTGTGGGTGCTCAATCACTAAAGGATTTCAAGAAGAGACTGGACAACCACTTGTCCAGAATGACAAGAAGGGACTAGAAGACCTCCAAGGTCTCTTCCAACTTTGTTCTATGAGCGAGTGACAAGAATCACATCCCTCAATATTTAAGTAATATGCCATATGTAAAGAAAATTTTAATCTCAGGGTTTGAATATTCTTAGCAGACAGTCTCATTTTCAATCTCCACTGATTGAGAACAGTGAAAAGTGATGGGTCAATCAGTGACCCTAATTAACTCTTAGAAGAACAAAGCTAGATGGATAAAACTCTAAACATATGACAGGTTCTTGATGTTATTCTTTGTGATTCTCCAATAGTATTGGCTTGCTTCATAATACCGGTTGATTTCACACAAAGAGTATTGGAGAATAATTTTCAGCTGTTCCTATAATATAGAAAATTATCTATGGTGTGCATGTAGAGGGGGGGGGGGAAGAGAGAGAATCTTTGTGCAATTTGGAAATGCATCCTTCTGTCTCAGTCTTTTCAGATTTCTGGTCTACAATTCCTATCATCTTTAACCATTGGCCAGGTTCTCAAAGGATGTTTGGAGCTTTAAACCAAAAGATCTGGAGGGCTGGGCTCTAGAGCCACCAAAGAAAGAATTTCATCTTAAAAAATTACTCCATTTGCGCGAAGCACAAATAGAACAGAAATGAAATGATGATTTACTATGGATAGAAAGGAAAAAAATATCTTTGATTAATGCAATGACTGTCTTAGTCTTTTATAATACCACAATGGTGAAATCCTAAGGTTGACTTACCTGTCCCCCAGAGATCAATACATTGGTTCGCCAAGGTGGGACACTTCCCCATGTAGCAGTAACCTTGGTTGTTTTGGCATGGGTGTCCATTCACACGGAAGCGATCCAAGGGACACTGAGCAGACTGGCCAGTGCACATTTCAGGCAAATCACAGTCATGTTTTGCTGCCCGACACACTGCTCCTGCTTTCTTAAGCTGTGGGTGAGAATGAAAAATATTCCCAGCTATCACTCTTTAGCAGCAGAGATCAAAGAGCCAAACTATGATTCACAATACATTTCACAGCCTCCATGACTTAAGGATTACCAAGCAAGGCATGTGATGAAAAAAAAAATGTGGCCGCTTTCTGTTGCTGTGAGTCTTGGCTTGTGATGGAAGTATGGAAATATCAAAATGTTTTGGATCCCTCTGTTGAAAAAGTTCATTACAGAGTCAACTGTATAGAAGGAACAAGCAACTTGCACCTCTCAATTCATGGTCCTGCAGCGCTTCCAAAATAACTGAATTTAGAGCTTTGGGGAGCAGTTGGAGAACTTACTGGTGGGAAAGAAAGTAATTTGATTTTTAGACGTTTTCTGCACCCCAAAAGTCTTAGAGAAAGTGCCAAAAATGGTCCTTAGTAATGTCATAGCATTATCAGATGGCCAGTTAGAATTTCCCAAAAAACAGGAACCAGGCATCAAACATTGCATTTATTTGTTTGTTTGTTTGTTTGTTTGTTTGTTTGTTTATTTAACGAACTGCCCATCTCTGTCAAAGAAAGACCCTAAAACATCAAAATATTAAATACTACATACAAATTAAAATGTTAGAGTTCAAATTTTAAAATTAAAAACCTTAAAAAAATTATAAAAATGTTTAAGGAGGCAAAACTAAGTAAAACCCTGTTCAGTTATTTGATAAAGGAATAAGGGAAGGATCTCATAGCACCGATCAACACCACGCCTGCATGCTCCTTTGGACTCCCCACACAACACCACAGTGCTGTGTTTTAACCCCCTTTTGGGAGTTAAAACTCTTTTAAATTGGGCTTCCATGCCAACTCAGTCAAAGAAAAATATGTATTATTTTCACAGAAGTGAATCCAAATGAAACAGCAGGTATACTTTATTTATTTATTTTTATTTATTTATTTTTGGATTTATATCCCGCCCTTCTCCCGTAGGACTCAGGGCGGCTGACAATCTATTTAAAATACATACAAAACAATACAAATTTAAAATTAATTAAAAGGAATATTTAAATATTTGTCAAATTTTAAAATATAATTAAAACCCCCCTAAAAATTACCCTAGGCCAGTCCTGCAAGNAGCAGTCAACATTTCCCTTGCATTTTTATGAAGTCCGAAGAAAGCGGAAAGCATTGAAACATAAAACTGATCCAAATTAGGCAGACAAAAGAATGGAAATCCATTTAAAACATCCCACACAGAAAAAGAAATTAATGGTTTCTACCAAAGCTGTTGGGACTGTTTAGATAGTCCCAAAGACTATCTAAACAGCCAAGTCTAACAACAGCCCAGCATGGACAAGGTGTTTCTTTTTTGAAATTAGAACTGTGGTCAAAGAACTTCTACAGGACAGCAGGACGAAAAGACTGAAATCAAGCTTTGAGATTTCTTGTGATGGTCAAAGTTATCAGGAAAATATTACTCTGTTTACTTTCCTTCCTTCCTTCCATCCATCTAGTTTTTTGACTGCCCCATTCCAATCAGACTCTATCAAAATGTACCAAAATTAAAATAGCACAATGATGTTAATTCAAAAATGATGAGGTAGAACAATATAATTCAATACAATAAAAATTAATTTTGGTGTTGGTTGGCTCTAACTTTAGTCCTCAAAAACCTTCTGAAAGTGCCAGATCTTTGCGATCTCTCAAAGGCCATAAGAGAGGGGACATTCTCATTTGATGTATTGGTATTTGATTATTCCAGTTTATGACAGAGGACCATCTCTTTCTAAGCTCTACTCAAATTTACAGAAAAAAAACTGCAATATTTTTAGCGTCAAGGATTCTGGAAAGCACTTTTTAGGGGTAGATGGGTGGTCTTTATTTGTTTAATACAACAGAACAAAGAAAAAAGAGAACAATACCACAGAAAAAAGAAAAGAATAGAAAGGAAATTATGTAAATTATGCATATACGCATACACATAAAATTATGTAAATTATGCATAATTTACGCATACACATAATCTATAATAATCATAATAATACTCATTTTCTTTTTAGTATAACAAAAATATTTAGACATAGATGTCAACATCATCACAAGAACATTTACAAATACACTCTAGTGGATTATTTGCAGATGCTTCAGATTTATGCCAATATCAAAAGAAAGCATGGCTTATTTTCAGGGATCAACATATGCATTGTTCTAGAAAACCCAGACTGGTGGACAGTGGGGTGTGATAAAAGGAACCAATGAAACAAAAAAACCACACTGGAGAAAACCAGAAGAACAAAGAGGAGCAGAGAATACTGTGAAAGACAAAGTGAAATCACCAAATATATGGGCGGAATACAGTACAAGTAGACCTCAACTTATGACCACAATTCAGCCCAACATTTCTGCTGTTAAGTAAAATGTTTGTTAAGTGAGTTTTGCCTGATCTTACAACTTTTCTTGCCACGGTTGTTAAGTGAATCACTGAAATTGTTAAGTTAGTAACACGGTTGTTAAGTGAATCTGGCTTCCTCATTGACTTTGCTTGTCAGAAGGTCTCAGAAGGGGATCTTGTGACCCCTGGGACACAGCATCAGTCATAAACATGAGTCAGTTGCCAAGCATCTGAATTTTGATCACGTGACCACGGGGATGCTACAACAGTCGTAAGTGTGGGAAACGGTCATAAGTTACTTTTTTTTAGCTTTGAACGGTCACTAAATGAACTGTTCTAAATCGAGGATTACCCTCTAAACTTTCTATAGGCCAATCCCTAAGCAGAACAGTCTTAAAGCCTACTAACGAGCAGGGAGAATACTTCAGCCAGAATATAGACTATAAAATACTTACAGAGTGTCCTGTGCATTTGTGTGAACAGTTGGTCGATCTGTAGGCTGTTTCTATCTCAACACACTGCCCGTTGTTGCAGACCTGAAAGTCAAAGAATGAGATTATCAGCAGAGTAAGACAGCAGTTTCCTACACAACTAAACTCTCTCATTCTCTAGAACAAAACCAGGATATTCAATAAACTTATTCCAAGTTCTATACTGCGTAAAAAAGACGGGGGGGGGATTATTCCTGATCCTTTAAGATAAGCTTTAGGATTGCTTCGGCACTTCTAAGTAGCTTCATTGAACTGATGTCCTTTAGGTCAGAGGTCCCTAACCTTTTGGGCACCAGGGACCAGTTACGTGGAGAGAGGTTTTTCCGTGGACCGCAGAGTACGTGGTTTTGTATGCTGCCTGCATCCTGTGGATGGGGCTTTCCTTGTTTGTGCAGACCGGTTGCTAGCATGCCACGGCCCGGTACTGGTCCATGGACTGGGGGTTGGGGACCTCTGCTTTAGGTCACAACCAGCTCTGTCCTGATTTTCTAATCTCTGTTCCATCTTCCCTGTGGAAATATCTACAAGTGAAGAGAAAGGACTGTCTCTTTGACAGTCTGCCCAGAAAGTGCTGCAAGGGAGAAGCATAATGCTCTGACAAAGTCAGACTGAGTAACCCTGGTGGCACAGGGATTAGAATGCAGTACTATGGGCTAACTCTACCCACAGCCTGGAGTTTGATCCTAATGGGCCTCAAGGTTGACTCAATCTTCCATCCTTTCCACGGTCAGTAAAATGAGGAGCCAGATTGTTGGGGGCTGTGTGCTGACATTCTAAACTGCCCAGAGAATGCTTAAAGCACTATGAGGTGATATATAAGTCTAAATCAGTGGTGGTGAACCTATGGCACGGGTGCCAGAGGCGGCACTCAGAGCCCTCTCTGTGGGCACGCGCACCGTCGCCCCAGTCCTAGGCCTTCAGCTGGGTTTTATAAAACCTTTTCACTTTAGGCCTCCGCCACCATGTGCAAAAAAAAAAAAAAAGGTTTAATCAGTCAATTTCAACTTCTCGCAGGAAAAAAAAGATCTTGCAAAGTTGGAATTGATTGATTGAACTTTTTAGTCCCACCCAGTCTGCCGTTATCACCGCAGCCATGCCCACCCAATGGGCCCCACCCACCCGGCACTCGACGATGCATAAGTGGGTTTTGGGTTGCAGTTTGGGCACTCAGTCTCTTAAAGGTTCGCCATCACTGGTCTAAGTGCTATTCCTATTGTTGGTTTGTTGTGGTTGTTGTTTGAAGGAAAAACAAAATAATAAAACAAAAACAAAGCTAGATGGATATATTTTTTTTCTTTTAAATAGATGCACTGTAGTACAGAAAATCTAAACCAGCTTTCAGCAAGATCCATTGCAAAATTTATTTTTACTGAATACCCCTTACAGCACAGAGATGAGAAGCAATCTTTTACTCACCATTCCTTCTCCACATTTTGTTCCAGGATCAACCATTCCAACATCTTTTGCATTTCCTCTCGGAAAGCTGCCTTTGCATGATTCAAATGACACCAGGCTTCCAGCTGAGGGCATTTTTGAACCACCTATGCAGTATAACTTGCCACACTTTAGATCCCTGAAAAGGAAACAGCCACTTCCTTCTAATTAACAAGAATGGATCCTTTGCTCATTTGCCAACATCAATCATTCTTGAATTAACCTTATTTTAAATTACAGCTGGATGATCCGAAGTTTGCTCAGCCTCAAAATGAACTTGGTTGCATTTAAGAGATAAACTAAAAAAAAATCTCAAGAAGTGTTTTAAGGGGGTTTTTTTGGGGGGGGGGGGAATAGAGAAACACAGTTTCTGTATTTCTAACTAGCTCATGTGGTTTCCCTATTTTTGAGGGTGAAAATAGTTTGAGACAGAATTCTTATCTTAGGACAGGGAATGTACAGTATCTGTTATCTACCTGGAAAACTCCTAAAGCAGATTCAGGAGGCTTGGTTTTTCCAGACCTCTAGCCTAACATTCCCATAATCTCTCACGTAAGTTGAAATCTAAAGGTTGGGGCAGCAGCATTAAATATTAGAGAGAGAGATTGCCCTGAAAAACGGCCATTATTCCATTTCAACTTAAGAAAAATAAGGGGAAAAAAGAAATTAAAGATTTAAATAAGTACTGCCCTTGTTTTAGTACAAAAAAAAAGGGTACAGGGTGTAAACTGTCTAAAAGGCAGAGTCCGGTTTACACATGTCACTAAAAGAAATTGTGGCTTATTGTTTGATTTGGATTCAACTTGTGGTGCAAATCTAGCCATTGTGGTTTCTAAATCATGGTTTATAACTAAGTGCAATTCCTAAACTCAGCCAACCAGGATTTATTCAATAAGATTGAAACAAACTATTGCTGGGTGATGTCAGCCCAGAGAGAAAGGCTGATTGTGCAGTAGTCCTTGACTTATGACAACTGGGACCAGAATTTCCATTGCTAAACAAAGCAGTTGTTAAGCGAGTTGCACTCAATTTTATAACCTTTCTGCCATGGTTGTTAAATGAATCACACGGTTGCCAAGCAAACCCAACTTTCCCCATTGACTTTGCTTATTGGAAGCTGGCTGGGAAGACAGAAAGTGGTGATCATGTGACCTCGGGACACTGCAGCCCTCATAAATATATGTTGGTTACCAAGCACCTGAATTTTGATCACATGACTATAGGGATGCTAGGACCGGTTGTAAGTCACTTTCAGTGTTATAACTGTGACTGATTGCAAGTTGAGGAATTTCTGCCCTTTCTCACACAATCTTTCAAAGGGCACTTTAAAAGTTCTCATGGTCTCCTTTTATACCCCACTTTTGCTCCATCTTGTAACCCAAGATAGAAAACACAGAAAAATTAGCCATTCAGAAATTGACTCATATTTCTGTTGTTTTAGTAAAATGATAGAATCAGGTTCCCACAGATGTGGACCTGGAAATATTTCTTATATTACTTTTACAGGATACCATCATCATAGCAGGAAATAATTTAGACTGCTTACTTTGGTTTACATGGAATATATGTGCCACTTGCTTTTCTGCAGTGGCCATAATAAACCCCTTTCTGGTTGATTGAAAAACAGGAATCTGCAGCCACTTTTCCACCTATAAGAGGGAAAAAACACAAATACCTGAGTGTGTAACATGCCAACAGGATAAAGAATGGCTCAAGACATCTCAGAGGAGTTCCAAATAATTTAGTTAATGTTCACTTATTTGTAACCCAATATTTTGTAACCCATTCCTTATCTAATCCTCATTATGCATGAAGCATTCACTATTTCGTACAATACTACATCCAGTTTTGGTCAACGTGATAGAAAAAAGTTGCTGAAACCCTAGAAAGAGCGCAGAGAAGAGCAACAAAAATGATCAGGGGTCTGGAGGCTAAATTGTATAATAAATGGATATGGGAACTAGGTATGAAGAATTAGGGGTGACATGATAGCAATCTTCCAATATTTGAGGGGCTGTCATAGACAAGATACCTGAGGGCAAGACAAGAAGTAATGAATGGAACCTTATCAAAGAGAGAAGCAACCTAGAATTAAGGAGAAATTTCCTGACAGTGAGAAGAATTAATCAGTGGAACAAGTTGCCTCCAAAAATTTGTGGGTGCTCAATCACTAAAGGATTTCAAGAAGAGATTGGACAACCACTTGTCCAGAATGACAAGAAGGGACTAGAAGACCTCCAATATCTCTTCCAACTTTGTTCTATGAGCAAGTGACAAGAATCACATCCCTCAATATTTAAGTAATATGCCATATGTAAAGAAAATTTTAATCTCAGGGTTGGAATATTCTTAACAGATGGTCCCATTTTCAATCTCCACTATCTCTGATTGAGAACAGTGAAAAGTGATGGGTCAATCAGTGACTCTAATTAACTCTTAGAAGAACAAAGCTAGATGGATAAAACTCTAAACATATGACAGGTTCTTGATGTTATTCTTTGTGATTCTCCAATAGTATTGGCTTGCTTCATAATACCGGTTGATTTCACACAAAGAGTATTGGAGAATAATTTTCAGCTGTTCCTATAATATAGAAAATTATCTATGGTGTGCATGGAGAGAGGGGGGGGGGAGAGAGAATCTTTGTGCAATTTGGAAATGCATCCTTCTGTCTCAGTCTTTTCAGATTTCTGGTCTACAATTGCTATCATCTTTAACCATTGGCCAGGTTCTCAAAGGATGTTTGGAGCTTTAAACCAAAAGATCTGGAGGGCTGGGCTCTAGAGCCACCAAAGAAAGAATTTCATCTTAAAAAATTACTCCATTTGCGTGAAGCACAAATAGAACAGAAATGAAATGATGATTTACTATGGATAGAAAGGAAAAAATATCTTTGATTAATGCAATGACTGTCTTAGTCTTTTATAATACCACAATTGTGAAATCCTAAGGTTGACTTACCTGTCCCCCAGAGATCAATACATTGGTTTGCCAAGGTGGGACACTTCCCCATGTAGCAGTAACCTTGGTTGTTTTGGCATGGGTGTCCATTCACACGGAAGCGATCCAAGGGACACTGAGCAGACTGGCCAGTGCACATTTCAGGCAAATCACAGTCATGTTTTGCTGCCCGACACACTGCTCCTGCTTTCTTAAGCTGTGGGTGAGAATGAAAAATATTCCCAGCTATCACTCTTTAGCAGCAGAGATCAAAGAGCCAAACCATGATTCACAATACATTTCACAGCCTCCACAACTTAAGGATTACCAAGCAAGGCATGTGATGAAAAAACAAAATGTGGCCGCTTTCTGTTGCTGTGAGTCTTGGCTTGTGATGGAAGTATGGAAATATCAAAATGTTTTGGATCCCTCTGTTGAAAAAGTTCATGACAGAGTCAACTGTATAGAACAGTGGTTCTCAACCTTTTTAATGCCGCGACCCCAACCGGTCGTAAGTCGAGGACTAAACCGGTCGTAAGTCGAGGACTAAACCGGTCGTAAGTCGAGGACTACCCAACCGGTCGTAAGTCGAGGACTTTCCCTGCCCGGGAGCGCCGCACATGCGTGGTTCCGCCCCCTGTGCTGGCCGAGGTGTAGCTGGCAAGCGGCAGAGACGGAGCAGGCCGACCACCAGCTGGCCCAGCCCAAGGGAGGTAAGGCACCCGCCGGAAAAGGGGAAAAAATGGCGGACAAAAAAAATGGCGGACAAAAAAAATGGCGGACAGCCTTGCTTGGCGACCCCCGTGAAATGGTCGATCGACCCCAAATGGGGTCCCAACCCACAGGTTGAGAACCACTGGTATAGAAGGAACAAGCAACCTGCACCTCTCAATTCATGGTCCTGCAGCGCCTCCAGAATGTGCTACCAAAATAACTGAATTTAGAGCTTTGGGGAGCAGTTGGAGAACTTACTGGTGGGAAAGAAAGTAATTTGATTTTTAGACGTTTTCTGCACCCCAAAAGTCTTAGAGAGAAAAAATAAGTGCCAAAAATGGTCCTTAGTAATGTCATAGCATTATCAGATGGCCAGTTAGAATTTCCCAAAAAACAGGAACCAGGCATCAAACATTGCATTTATTTATTTATTTGTTTGTTTGTTTATTTAACGAACTGCCCATCTCTGTCAAAGAAAGACCCTAAAACATTAAAATATTAAATACTACATACAAATTAAAAGGTTAGAGTTCAAATTTTAAAATTAAAAACCTTAAAAAATTATAAAAATGTTTAAGGAGGCAAAACTAAGTAAACCCTGTTCAGTTATTTGATAAAGGAATAAGGGAAGGATCTCATAGCACCGATCAACACCACACCTGCATGCTCCTTTGGGCTCCCCACACAACGCCACAGTGCTGTGTTTTAACCCCCTTTTGGGAGTTAAAACTCTTTTAAATTGGGCTTCCATGCCAACTCAGTCAAAGAAAAATATATATTATTTTCACAGAAGTGAATCCAAATGAAACAGCAAGTATACTTTAGACTGAAACAAGGCTGAAATTTTGTTAAATTGTCCTCCCTAGGGGTATGTTCATAAGGGCTCAATAAACTGGAAGAAGGGATGGGAATAGAATTAAAATGTTTTTGATCACAGTAGGTAGCAAGGAAATATCACATTTTCATGTGACTAGGAAGGAGCAGGGTAAAATCTCTCCTGGTGTTAAAAATAAACAAGACTTACCTGGCATTTCTCACAACACTCCCCATATCCACAATTTGCCTCAGGATTCAGTTTACAAGTTGTAGCATTGCAGCACTCATTTTTACATTCCTGAAAACCAAACATATCAAATGACATTATAAGCTTTCCTGCTGGTCTCTTCTGACTGGTCTATTTTGAAGAGGAGAACTACCAAATAAACTGATATTCTGCTCCCTCTTATGGATTCATGCTAGCAAATGAGTGTGACCATCTGAGCGTTTGTTATTACAAACGGATGATGGCATATCTATAAGAAATATTATCTGATATTTCTTGTGTGAAAGGAATAAAACAAATAAAAAACATCCTCATCTCATAATTGTGAAGTCCACATAAACTACAGCCTCTTGCTTATTCTGAGGAATTTTCTAGTCATGATTTTCTACTCAACTACTTCGAGGTAGTCCAGTGAAGAAGCAGCAACCATGAATATTAACACTACCTTTATTGTAAGGTTACCATAATTGAACATTTCTCCCCTCTCATCTTTATAGTCCAAGAAAATAGGTGGGAGGTGTTCCCCTTGAGATGTTTGCCATGCCCCATTGCTTCTACAGGCTAAGCTATGTCTTATCTAATGACTGCCTAGTCTGTTCATCCTCCTTGGGTCTCTCAGGAGATTTTCACAGATCATTATACAATTGCCATTGATTCCATTTAACACTCTAAAGGGAACACTTTACCAAATTACTGTTTGTGTGTAAAATTACTAGATCTTTTAGTCCAACCCACTGCCTAAGCAGGAGACCCTATGCCAGTGGTTCTCAACCTGTGGGTCGGGACCCCATTTGGGGTCAATCGACCATTTCATGGGGGTCGCCAAGCAAGGCTGTCTGCCATTTTTTTTGTCCGCCATTTTTTTTGTCCGCCATTTTTTCCCCCTTTTCCGGCGGGTGCCTTACCTCCCTTGGGCTGGGCCAGCTGGTGGTCGGCCTGCTCTGTCTCTGCCGCTTGCCAGCTACGCCTCGGCCGGCGCAGGGGGCGGAACCACGCATGTGTGGCGCTCCCGGGCAGGGAAAGTCCTCGACTTATGACTGGTTGGGTAGTCCTCAACTTACGACCGGTTTAGTCCTTGACTTATGACCGGTTTAGTCCTTGACTTACGACCGGTTTAGTCCTCGACTTACGACCGGTTGGGGTCACGGCATTAAAAAGGTTGAGAACCACTGCCCTATGCCATTCCAGACAAATGGCTGTCTAATCTTTTCTTAAAAACCTCCAGTGATGGAGCAACTTCTAAAGACAAATCACTGCACTGATTAATTGTTCACACAGTCAGGACATTCTAGGTTGTTTCTCTGTTTGATAAGTTTCCATCCATTACTTCTTGTCTTGGCCTCAAGTGTTTTGGAGAATAATTGTTCCCCTTTTCTTTGTGACAGCCTCTTAAATATTGTAGGACCGCTATCATGTCACCCTAGTCCTTCTCTTCATTAGACTAGACATATCCAGCTCCTGGATGTTTTAGCCTCTTATCATCTTTGTTGCTCTTTTCTGCACTCTTTCTAAAGTCTCAACACCTTTTTTGTATTGTGCTGATCAGAACTGGATTCACAACCTGTTGGATGGCTCAAACTAGTTAGAAAAAACAGATGATTTTGCAAGGATTCCTATTTTTGAGAAACTTCTTGGAACCATCATAGTTCATAAAAAAAAAAGCATACCTTTGGAGAGCCACAGTCACATTCCTCTCCCTCTTCCACAAAGTCATTCCCACAAACTGGAGGTGTAACTATATCTTTGTTCAAGGGTCTGTTGATAATGCATTGTGGGGTTTCACTCAGGATATACTTCTGATAATCCTGGAAACTACAAGAACTGAACTCCCGGGGAGGTTTATAGCTGTAAAAGTGAACCCATATAAGATCATGACATCATCCATATTTGGATCAGGAACAGAATTCATTGCAAAAACATATATGATAGAAAAAAATGGCTAATGAACAAATGCAGTGATTTTTCTCTAAAGCTAACAATTCTTTATACCCCTTGATCTTACTCCCAGATTATGTTCCCTCAGTTTTAATTCCACTGGGTTTTTTTCTTTTTTTTTAACAAAATGAATTTGCAATAAGAACTCCACGTGCTGTTAGTTGCTTAAGCAGCTTCTTGTGTTTGAGTGGGCTGCCTTTCATTTTCATTTTTAGTCAGCCTCTCTGTGGGACCCTGGAAATAATACAGTGACGTTGCTGATGTGGTAAAGAAGAGGGAGCCTTAATATAATTGAAGGAAAAACAGTGGAATCTTGGCCTTCTTTTTCTTTTCTTCTTTTGGAGAAAAAAAGGCTTCTACTTTTTATAACAAATGAATGTTTTAAGGCAAAGGGAGCATTAATATACTTATTGGACTTCTTTTGTTGAAAAGGTCATAATGATGCAAAGATGGCATCATAAGTCCTCCCAAGCACCTTCCTAATACTATTATAAATCATTAGGAATATAATCATTGGCCCTCAAGGAAGAGGGTGAAAGCAAGAACACAAAGATCATCTGCTGGTGGCCATTAAAGAGACCACATGGTCTTCTCTCAAGGTCAAAGTTGCACCAGACCCATTAGGTGGGGCTTATTGAGCAAAATTGTTCTCTAAGCAAGTCCTTCTGTACAAAATACCAGAAAGTGGTTTTGAAGTATTAAAAAGTAACCATGACGCACAGAAATCCTTCCGTAAGGACAGGAAAGGTTACATAGCATTGCCAATACTTCCTGAACGCATTGCCATTGCATCAAATATGAGGCAACAAAGTCCTAGGGCTTTGACAGAAGAAACCAGAAATTTGACAACAGGGGGCACGTTCACTGAGACTACATAAATCTTACACAAAAGGCAATTGGGTGTTTTGCAATAGACAATTCCTGAGAACTTTCCTCTCCTCTTTTCTCCTCCTCTCCTCTCCTCTCCTCTCCTCTCCTCTCCTCTCCTCTCCACTCCACTCCATTCTGTTCCATTCCATTCCCCCTTTTCCTTCCCCTTTTCCTTTTCCTTCTTGGTGAAGTAGAGCCTAAACAAGGACTAGGAATAAAATACAGGGTATCCTCAACGTACAACCACAATTGGGATCAGAATTTCCACTGGTAAACAAGACAGTTTTTAAGTGAACCACACAGTCATTAAGAAACCAGGCTTCCTCCGTTGACTTTATCAGAAGACAGCTGGGAAGGTCAGGAAATGGTAATCACAGGAACCCAGGATGCTGCAACCATCATAAATATATGCTGGTTGCCATGCCCCCAAATTTTGATCAGGTCACTGAGAGGAGGCTGCCATGGTTGTTAGTGCAGTCGTAAGTCACTTTTTTCAGTGCCATTGTAACTTCAAATGGTTGCTAAACAATATTTGTCAGAGATGTAACATATCTTCTACCTTGATAAAGGGACAAGGTAGAAAAACCCCAAGGATGCTAATTTATCTTTTTCTTCCTCCTGTTGCATGATTCTGCTTCCCATTATAGGAAAGTCTTTAATGTCTAACTTGGTTTCCTCTTTTATCCATCACAGATATTAATATTTGGTTTCTTGAGCTATGCTTCCTACGCTATTTCTTTACACTGTTGTTAACTGCAACTGTTTGAAAATAGCTTGATTTGAAAGGCATTAGAAGTTTTCCTGAGCCCTTACCTTTGCTGGGCAGTCATAATGCATGAGTCAGCCTTGCAAGTACAGAAATCTGTGTCATGATTCATGCCAAGATTATGACCTAGCTCATGGGCCATTGTTGCCCCAATAGCAATTGGGTTGTTGCTATGATCCTGAAAACAAGAGAACACTTTATCTATTGTTAGTCCGCCAAAAAACCAAAAGTGAATTCAATTATTACTAGCACTGAGCTGAAACCTTTGCTCCAGCACTTTCTAATGAAAAATCAAAGAGTTAGAAAAAGAGATTAATAATTTGCAGAGCTGAGATAGGATTTCCTGCAAAAAGTAGTTTCTTTCTTTAAAGCAGCAACGCATACTAAAAGCTTTCCTTTTAGTAGCTTAGAGATGAAACATTCCTCCATAATTATCTCACTGGGGTACAAAGGTGTCTTCTATTGTTTATTATTTTTATTAATTAAAAGAATTATTTATTTGTCCATGTTAAAAAAATGAGATGTAAATAGAAAGTTAGCTTCAAAGGGAGTGGAGGGGGTAAAAATCTTTCTCCAGACTGGGCTACTTTTTTTTTTTAATATATATTTTTATTTTTTAAACCAACAAAACAAAACAAAACACACATACACACACAGTATATATTCCTCCCTTTTTTTACAGCGATTTCGTAACAGTAATCTTCTATTATTTACATTTCCCCCCCCCTTATTCTTCTTTAGAATATTTGTCCTTGTTGCCCCATTATTTCTTATTTGCATTTTTCTTCCTTCATGCATTATTATACACACATTTTCCACTTTTAACCTTTGCACATTTATTCTCTCTTATTTCTACCACTTGTTCCATATTAAATAGTATTCTGTGTCTTCCTTTTCTTTTGTTAATTTGTCCATCTCAGCACAGTCCAGGATTTTTCTTATCACTTCTTCCCCTGATGGTATATTCTCATTTTTCCAGAACTGTGCGTATGCTATTCTTGCTGCCGTTGTTGTATGTAGAACTAAGTACCGTATTTCTTTACTATTGGGCTACTTTTTTTTTTATAGGCAACTGATTTTGCTACTAGTAATTGGTTTTTAACATGGAAAAGTACTAAGAAAGTATACTGTTTATCTGAAACCTTAAACTAAAGGATTACATCAGGTAGTCCCCAATTTACGAACTTGAGCCTGGCAATTACAGTTTGGAGTTGTCAAATTCATAAATAAAGATGGATGAAAACGATGTGGATCAAATGTAAGAATAGTCTTTATTGGTAATAAAGTTATTCCTGCATTAAGGGTTTTCACTGACCACTAAACAAGTAACAGGTAGCTTTTCTACTAACCTGAACAATTCCTGAAGAAAACGAAGGACTGCACATGGTACCAACAAAAGCCAGTCCTACGGTTGGTCCATCGAAGTTAATAGCCCTATTAGAAAGAAGAAGGGGGTAAAATTTATAGAAGACGGGAGCACCCTCTATAGCCTTGGGGCATATGTAACCCATTATGCTTTTCGCAAACCCCCAATCCCATCCTCAGTTCCTGCCAGTTTTCAGGGTGTTAGAATTCATTTTAGACTCTACTCACACAAGCCATTTAACTAAGCAGGCCTGTTAAACGTATTCAGGATGCATTTCCACTACATACTAAGCTTGGCTGGTGTTAGCCTTCACTAAGATGGGGAGATGGTTGTGTGAATCCAGCCCATGTAGTGTAAAAACCCCAAATTTCAGATTTCTACAATAATTCGATTTCTCCTATCAGTTTAGCCATGGTGTTATTAAAGACTAGGTGAGCTGAGGAACAAATCAAATCAACATCTGTGGGGAAAAATAAAATGGAATTTTTTTCTATTTTTTATACTCTCCCTTTTTACTTTGATATGCATTCCATCTAGCCTCTAATATATTTTATAAGACCCATTTGTTATGCACATATCCTGTAGGATTGCTCACAACATAATCGTTGCTGGTCCAATATATTAAAGATATAATCCAATAAATTTGGCATTTTCTCGCTTATAAAACCGTATGGCAATATATAGGCTGAACTCACACTGCCTCTATAACCAGATCGCATTAAGATCTAGATGACAGATTTGTACAACCTGCTAAACATGTGTTACTCAAGATTAGTTATTTTATTATTTTACTTTATTCTTGTTTATCTGTTGTATAATGCAAGTGTTCATTTATCTGGTGCAGAATAGGAACCAAATCATCATTTAATCAGATTAGAATTGCATGTGTTAAGTACAGTCAAAGCATAGTAGGATAATAGGAGTTTCAATTTTAAATCCAGGTGAAATGAAATCAATCTTTGACCTGCAATCATTCAAAGATTTCTCAAAACCAGCTCTCATCTACAAAGAAATGGTTGGCTTTGATCCAGAAACATAGTTCACACATGGTTTAAAGAATGCAGCATAGAGCGGAGGCTCTTTGCAAGCACTAACCTTCCCATAATCCTCCACTCCCAGCCACCCCCATTCCCTTTCCCCACAATGAGACATACGTGAGCAACTGAGCATTATCATTCCTTTTTCGCTTCAGCAAAACTGATTCTCTCCATGTCGAAAAGTGGTTCAAAGTGACACCTGCTGTTGTGTTGACCTCAATCTTATCTTCATCAGACCAAATCTCTAAGCCAATCAATGCTACGTAAACATTCAAAGGTTTGTAAACCTGTGTGGTGGACATGGCATCAATCAGAAACTCAAATCTTGAGAAACATTTCAAGACTAAAAGGCAACTGACAATGGTCTCTACGGGCAGGTGAAATGGAATAGATTTTGGGATCAATAGAGGAACACCTCTATAATAAGGACTTGAATTGTGGAGTCCTTGGTCCTCTCTGAGATTGGTGGTTTGCTTGCGGATGTTTAGACAGGTAACGAAATGTCTGCAAGGAAACCACCAAGCTCAGACAGCACCAAGGACTCTACACGGGGAATAATAATAATTTATTAAGCAGGAGAAAGAAATGATAAAAAAGAACCAGTTGATTATTCTCTTTCATCAAGAACAGAAGAGGAGAAGAACCAAAGGGAGATTTCACCCACTGATGTTCCTGTTACCTCCCTGATTTTAACTGATCATCAACAGGGAAGATGGTCAACCAGGCTAATAGGACAGAAGCAGTACAATATGAGTGGGATCCCCTCCTAAGTGCCACAATCCAAATCAAACTGGGTTCTTCTTTCCTGCCTTCTTCTCAGGAACCGTGTTCATAATCAGTTGAGTTTGGAATAGGCTTACTCTGTCCATTTCTTTCTAATCTCCAAGTTCAGAAGATTAACCACAGCCCTGAAAGAATCCAGCTACAGAGATGTAGCACTGATTGAATTCCTGCAACAGTTTTGGATTTGTATCCTCCCAACACAGTGCCTGTATTCATACTGTATAACAGACTTATTCACCTAGTTACTGAACTAACCCATTTTCTTAGATGTGCTTGCTTGCTGGATCACAAGCTTACCAAATGATCCAGCTTTGCTGCCCTTGAAGCCACAAAAGCTAGCCTTCTTGTAATAATAATAATAATAATAATAATAATAATAATAATAATAATAATAATAATAATAATAATAATAATAATAATAATAATAATAATAATAATAATAATAATAAAGTTGTAAGGGACCTTGGAGGTCGTCTAGTCCAACCCCCTGCTCAGGCAGGAAACCCTATACCATTTCGGACAAATGGCTGTCCAGTTTCTTCTTAAAAACTTCCAGTGTTGGCATGTTCACTGCTTCTGGAGGCAGGTTGTTCCACTGGTTAATTGTTCTAACTGTCAGGAAGTTTCTCCTTAGTTCTAGGCTGCTTCTCTCTTTGGTTAGTTTCCACCCGTTGCTTCTCGTCCTGCCTTCAGGCGCTTTGGAAAATAGCTTGACTCCCTCTTCTTTGGGGCAGTCCCTGAGATACTGGAAGACTGCTATCCTGTCCCCCCTCGTCCTTCTCTTCATTAGACTAGACATACCCAATTCCAGCAACCGTTCCTTGTATGTTTTAGCCTCCAGTCCCCTAATCATCTTTGTTGCTCTTCTCTGTACTCTTTCTAGAAGCCCATTTCCTAGGTCCCGTTACCTGATTAATTTTGTTGCATAAACACAGTGAAAATCTGGGTTGGGGGAGGGAGAGGTTTCAATCTAAAAAGTGAATGAACTTTTGTCATGTCCTCTTACCGTATTTATGAAATTGACTACATCAAATACTTTCATCTTTACAGCATTGATATCGCGGCTGTACTTCCTGAACTACAGAAAAGACAAAAAGGTTAAGAAGGGACCATAATTTTAGGATGGAGGGATTGAAGGAAAGTCAAAGAAAGAATATGTCAGGGAAAGAAAGAAACTTTTTTTAAAAAAAAACACCCATTGAATTTGTTGATTCAGACAAAAATAATAATTCTATATCCAAGCACTCCAATGAATTCTTTTGTGCTGATTTTTATAACCCTACCTTTGAATCTACATTAATATATTAACAGTATGATTTTTTGGGCATCACTAATGAGCTTTCCTCCTGTTTGGAGAAAATTTGAGAACCTTCCCTTAAGTGGACACTATATTTCCTTGTTCAGAGAACTGAGAGGTAAGCATTCCTCATTACAAACTGAATTTAAATACCACCAGCCCTAGACCAATTTCCCTGAAAAGAATTTGCATAAGATGTTCCCTTTTGCAATAGTATTAAAAGAGGAAACTCACTGAGCTCATGAACATAGTTTTATTTTACTGGGGGGGAAACGTGCACACGTTCAGAGAGTTCAAATACCCCCAAGAGTTATTTTACTGCAAATGCTGCGTTGCTGCAAATGAGATTGGCTAAGTCAAATGTGGATCTTACTTGTCTATTAGCCAAAGGTTAGTTTCTATTCGAGCTACTGGTGGTGGAGAGATAGATTTAATTTGAGTGATAGTATGAACATTAACACTGTATAATTTTGACTTCTTGAATCAATTTATTTACTAAAATTCAGTTGTAAATTGAAATTCATACATGCACAGACACATATAATAAGGAAATCAATTTCAAATGCATATACCCATAAAAATAAAGTAAAGTATTATATTCAACTGTATATTTATTAATAACAATAAGAATTGTATTTGCTTAGTGTGGGAAAATGTCTATTCCCAGAGGAAGAGAGGATGTATTGGATGGCGTAATATTGGATTTAGTTTGAAGAAGCTTATATGTACCACGGAATTACTAATGGACCCAGTCAACACGTTGTCTATTACCTGATTGTAAAAATAGAAAATTAATAAAATATTTATTAAAAAAAAGAAATTAAGTAAAATAGGGAAACTTATTTTCAAAAATTATATCAAGCAAAAGTATAAATGAAAAAATATTCTGTGAGGAATGGATGCAAAAGCATGAATTACTATTTCACTACAATTAATTGAATGTAAAAGTCTGAATGTAAAAGTTTTGAAATAAATGAAAAAATAAGAGAAAGCAATACATCCAGATTGGCTACCCACCAATTTAAAATTCTCCTCCTGAATTTTGTTCTGGATTTTGGAAACTAGATTGCCCAGGTAGAAGAAATATATGATTCTCTTTTTCTCTTTTCTCTATTTAAAAACTTTATTTATGTTCTCCGTGTTAACTAACTTCAGCTTCCTGTTCTTGGCATTTCTGGATAAACTATCATTAAAATTTAGATAAAGTCCAGGAAAGGCTTAGTACAAATCACAGAATAATTATATTTCAAGTGTGTCTTAACTTTGTAAAGAGGGGCTGGGTCCAATCACAAAAAAACAAAAATTATATAAATATACTTTAAAGCACATTTTTGGATAAAACCTTAGTTAGAATGTTGTGTTTGGTAATGCCTTCAAAAATGCCCACATTAAAAAAGACAAAAACAAAAATTCGTGCTCAATGCAGAAAACAACTTGATATCCAGGATACTTACCATTCTGTTGTCTGCCGCTATGAAAAGCTCCACATATTTTTTGGCCTGCAAGTATTCCTTTTTCTAAACAAAGCATTAAACAAAATATTGTTTAGACATGTTGCTTCCTGCAATCAACAGAATTGTTGGGTCATCAGATAATCTTGTTGTACTCCATGGACAAAGTACATGAACTTTCAGAAATATTGGCTCTTTGAAGAAAACATTTATAGGGAGAGAACTTGTTAAACTTTAGCACTTTAGAATGTGCTGAGAAATTTATCAGGAGAAGTACATTATGCAATGGGTGACCAGATTCACTGTGTCAGTTTTAATTCAGTCATTGCTTCAATCCAACTTGATGATTCAAATCAAATTGGAAAATTGAATCAAGATTACATAGTGGTCTTGTTAGACATTGCAAACCACTTTGATTTAATGCTTATTAATTTATTAAATTATTCTCCAAAGCACTGAAGGCAGGACAAGAAGCAATGGATGGAAACTAATCAAAGATAAAAGCAATCTAGAACTGACAGTTAGAACAATTAATCAGTGGAACAACCGGCCTCCAGAAGTTGTGAATGCTCCAACACTGGAAGTTATTAAGAAGAGATTGGACAACCATTTGTCTGAAATGGTATAGGCTTTCCTGCCTGAGCAGGGAGTTAGACTAGGTGACTTCCAAGGTCCCTTCCAACTCTATTATTCCATTATTTCAAACCAATTTCTCCCCCTATCCCAAGTCCCCTATGCATGCATAAAGTGGTTTCGAATTGATAATTTGATTAAACTTTCTAAACTGATGCAGAAAATTGAGATGATTTGGAGATTCAATTAAATCTATTTTGAGCCATATCTCCAAATTGATTTTGCATGACCATAGAAAATGGTATAAACCTGAAATATGTATTTTCTGTTCAGCGAGCTTCCATATTTTCTTGTACAGTGTGGCTGGAATAGAATTTTAGAAATAGGGGATCCTCTCGTCTGAATTCTTTTAGCAGTCCCAGAGAATTTCTTTTACTTTACATTTTAGAAACAAGTAAATGAATCCCTGAACTATGGTGCTGGAGACTGCAAGGTGGACTGCACCTTGGACTGCAAGGTGATCAAACCGGTCGGTCCTAGAGGAGATCAACCCTGACTGCTCTTTAGAAGGCCAGATCCTGAAGTTGAAACTCAAGTACTTTGGCCACCTAATGAGAAGGAAGGACTCACTGGAGAAGAGCCTAATGCTGGGAAAGATTGAGGGCAAGAGAAGAAGGGGACGACAGAGAATGAGGTGGCTGGATGGAGTCACTGAAGTAGTAGGCGTGAGCTTAAATGGACTCCAGAAGATGGTAGAGGACAGGAAGGCCTGGAGGAACATTGTCCATGGGGTCGCAATGGGTCGGACAAGACTTCTCAACTAACAATAACAACAAAATGAATCCGTGTTCCATACTTGAGGGTTTCACATGAGACTTACTTCAGCACTCATGCTTGTCCGAGAAGTCTTTTTGATGGGCTCATCTGGTTCCCATGTAGTGTTGGTTACCCCACAGATTTTGGGGGTCTTGTCCTCTTTTTCCAGACTTTCATATTTGAAGAGTGCATGGGCTTCACTGTCGGGTAGCTTCAAGGGTTCAATGAGGTACTTCTCACCCTGATTCTTGAAATACCCTCTGTAAAACAATTGTAGATTAGAGGTGGAAGGCCAATAGAAGAGAATATTTGAAGTGTGGGGTCCTTGATGCTCCCTCAACTTGGTTGTTTTCCTGAAAACATTTTATTACTCAACTAGTAACATCACCAATGCACTGGATGTTACCTAGCTGGCTAATGAAACATCTGCAACAAAACAATTAAGCTCAGAGAGCACATGGTGAATAACCAGGTTTAACTAACAAAGTCAACGCAACCTATCTTTATGAATCCCTTAAAATAAACTGAGCCTTTTGTTGTCTTTCCTCAACTTACATATCCATTTCTCTGCTTCTCAAAAATACAGCTAAGCTGTATTGCACATTCTCAGTACAATGATGAATTATGTATATGGTACTTGTGCGGAGTTAGTTTGTCATGGATTCCAATATAATATAATTCCTAGATTATTTTTTTTAAAGCAAAGAAAGTTTTTAGCTACAAAAATCTAAGACTAAACATGTTGGAAAGATTCAGTTTTTGTGTAAAACTTTATTTTGTAGGGGTGAAGTATTGTATATCTTATATATTTCCCTACTGTAGACTCATTCCATCAAATCAATCTTTTGTTGTTCCTAGACCAACACATAAAACATGAAAGTCACAATTAATTAGGGTAAAAAAGGAAAAATATATATAATTGTTCTAAAATATCTAAGAGGAAACACTATGGTGTACTATACAAACTGTAGAAAAGGACTTGGCTATGGTCAAGGTAATGAAATCAGATTGATCTGATAATAACAACTTAAGATAAAAATCAGAACCATCAGGATACCTAGTAAATTCCTGGAGAACACCTGCAATACAGAAGAACTTATTGTATCATTTCAATTATTCCTCTGCCACATGGACACATTCTCTGTTCAAAGGGGATTTTTTTTGGTGCCTTCCTTCAGTAATGGCTGTCAGGAAGACATTGAATCTGGCAAATAATAATCTGGCCCTAAATTTGGAATCTTTATACAGCTAAGATATTTAGTTGGTTAGAAAAAGTGTGCAGAATGACTCAAGAAGTTGTTTCTGGTAGAACTGAAAGTCTGCTTGCCTCTTCCCAGGTGCACAATCTGAAACCTACTTATCTTCTTTTCCTTGTAACATCAGCTCCTGTATACAAAGGCGACATGGCCTTTGAAGCTCCTTTAGACAGAACTGATTTAGCTCCCTACTGTCTCTGCTGGCTGGCAGTTCTTCTAGTTAGCCAACCAAAATCTTTCTTAATTCTGCAGAAGTTCAGAAGTGAACCCAAGTAATTTGCATAAGAAACCAATGTTCTACTTTTTAACTATGACAGCTTCAAGAACAGTATTCTCATTCTTAATAAAAATAAACAAAAGATAAAACAGTGTCTTACTTCAAACCATGGCACGCACTGATGCTGGCAATTGAGTCGGTGTCATTCTGGATGTGACCGTTATAATAGCAGTGATCCTGAATGGAAGCAAGAAGACTACACTGGATTGGACTGTGATTTGTTAAACAGGAATATGGTTCCAATGTATTCTGCCATATAAATGCAGTAATGAGTAAGACAGAAAATATTCCAGAATATTTTGATTTGGGGGAGATACAAAATCTGTCTACTATTGATTGTTTCTTTTTTTTTATTAGTTTATAATATCAAATACAAAAATACAAAAGAAAAGAGTAGAAAAGTAGGAGAAGGAGAAGGGAAGGAAAAAGTGTAGGGAAAGGAGAGGAAGGAGAAAAAGGCATTGACTTCTGATTCCCTTTGATGCAGTAAAATAAGATAATAGCATCAAACCTCAACTTTTTACTTTTACGTAATAGTATAAACTAGCTATTTCTATAACAACAAACCTATCTAATTGGTAAAACCCAAAATCAAAGTTTCACTTTTTTCCACCTCAAGCACAAAGTCCAGAAGCGATTTCCAAGTAGAAACAAAACTAATTGTGTGCTTTTTTCCTTTAATGAAAACCGTCAATTTAACCATCTCTACTAACTCCATCAACGTTCGTAGCCGTTCATCCGTTGTGGGAATCAAAGTGACTGATTGTTTCAGAATGAGCACAGTAGAAACACAAGTCTCTCTAAAAGTAAGTCACACTGCACATCTGTGCTCCCGAATTATTGAACTTTTCAACAGAGTTTATATGGGAGAACTTAACCTGAATCCAAGGATATCCACAGGGTATTGTCAATAAAGAAAACTTGCTGGCACCATTGCAATACAGACAAAAAAACATGCAGAGCTTTGATGGCACCAATATGGCTGCTGTCTTGATTTTTGTAAGTTGCCCAGAGTCAGTGATTGAAATGAGCAGGTATAGAAATTGAATGAATAAATAAATAAGTACATCTACTTTTTAAACTCATCATCAGAATGTTTCTCATTCTGTACTATTACTATTGCAGAACTACGGAATGTGTGATCCTCCAGATTTCATGCACTCTGACGCCATCATTCCTAGGTGGGGAAATGCTTTTTTTCTGTGCTGAGGCCATTAAAAAATCTCAAAAATGTTCCCATAAAAAGATGTTAAAAATGTTATTTAAAGATAGCTTTAAGTTTACTAATGAGGAGGCTATAGGTGGCTATGTAAAATACTTGGGCATCCAAATGAGAGAGCGAGAGAGAGAAATGCATGAAAAACAACTAAAGGGAAATAAAATTTTAGATTGGTGGTCCTTAGTGTACATTTTGTGTACCATTTGATCCACCAATGTGGCATTTTTCAAATCATCTCAATTGGTCATTAAGATCTCATTTTTCCTATTCAATAATTTCTCCCCAGCCAAAGAAGTTCTCCCCGATGCTCTTTCTCATCATTTGACTCAACAGCAGTTCTGATTTTTTTGTTTTCTTAGTTGGTGTACAGTATATGCTGGAAAAATCATTGGCTGACTTAGTGTTTTGGACAGTGGCTAAAAATAAAAAGCAGACAATGAAGATTTCTTGCTTAATTGACAGAAAGAATAAAAAAATAGTCACTACTTGGATTTTGCTGCATCGCCCTGTTGTCTGATTCAGAATTTTGTTGGTCAAAATTCTATGCTTATCTTCTTTTATCAGGCTTTGGTTGACAAGGTGGAAAGGAAGGAGGGTGTTAAAATATTTTTCTTGTCACTTTGCTAGATGATGCTATATAAAAAAAGTTTCCCATAAATCATTCTATTCCAAAGAGCAAGACAAGCACATTGAGTCTTTACTTAGGAATGTGTTATATATGTACCATAGTAAGGTAACCAACTTTTTTACAATGAGAAGGAGGACAAAAATAAATTGAAGAAAAAAAAGTGAGCCTAATGCATGCGTGTGTGCCATGTCGTGTTTCAGTAAGAAGTAAACAAAGCCACTTGCGCGCGGTGCACTCTTGCGCGCGGCGCACTCTCTCAAAACAATTCTCCTGTGCGGAGCGCATGCGTCTCGCCGCACTGTACTGAGCCTTGACGAATCATCATGTCAAATACAAATACGTCACATCACACGCAACGGATCAGCTCGGCATCGATCGAATATGGAGATTTAAAGATTAGTCTTCAAATATCGAAAAGGAGGACATGTAGGAGGACACTTTTCGAGAGAGGACAGAACTTACAACAAAGGAGGACGATTGGTCACCTTAACCATAGGCATAAACACCCTGAGAAACAGCATTATGTCCAAGGTCTCTCCAACACCAAAAACCAAAGCAAGATACACCTTCACACTACCCAGATCTGGAACATCATTTGGAAATTGATAACTAACTATAAGAAGAGGCTTCCTATACAAAACCACTTCCTGTACAAAACCACTATCTCTTGCAATATTTTGCAAGAGACAAAGCAGCTACTCACCAGACTCTACCACCTGAAGAAAAGGGAAGAGGCAATATCAGGTCATTACCAGCAACGTGCTATCAGCTGGAAGTGGAGAAACCCTCCACCAGTAGGGTCTCTGTAGCCTCTCTCTAGCAATTGTGAGTAGATAAATAGGTACCCCTTTCGTAGGAAGGTAATAGCATTGTGTGTTTCACTGCATATTTTGCACTGTGGTGTGATGTCATGTTGGCCATATGACTGTAAAAATGTCTTCGGACAGCGCTGGCTCATGGTTTAAAGAAACAGAGATGGGCACCAATGCCTAAAGTCAGCTACAACTAGTGGAGTAAAGGAGGAATTATTTTACCTTTATCTTGCATGTAATTTAAATAAGTCTCTTCTGGGCTTGGGCAACAAAAAATTAGCTACCGGTTCTGCCGAACTGGTGTGAACTGGCTGAATCCCACCACTGTTTAGGACCCAAAATATCTGTTTCCTTTTTTTTTTAACTTAAATGAGAGTCTTTAGCTTATGTTGTAGCATTTTTAATTCACATCTTGCTGCATAATCACCAGTCTTGTGACATTTAACTGGCTTCTGCCATTTCCTTCAAAGGTTCTCTAGAATGCTTTAATAGAAGTGCCTTGTGTGAAACAGATATTATCAGGAAAAAGGGATAAAAATAGAAAATTCTTTGAGCGTGTCGAAGAGGAGTGTGGGAAAAACTCCTTCAGACAGAAAGAAAAAAGGAAGAGGAACATGACACAGCTTTGTTGTCGTTTTAATTAAATTACTGATTTTCACAGACTAAAGGAAATCTGGAATTGTCTGCAAAGCAACGACTTCCTCATATTGTTTTAGTTAACATAGACATAATTTGTATTATGACCTAATGACTTTTTTTCTGTAGAAAATCTCAAAGAACGCTTGAGAGAATACCGGCTGGGAAATTCTGGGCGTCGAAGCAACACATCTCTTTAATTGATTAGTAACATTGAGGTGTGTGTGTGTAGGGAGGGTCATCTGTAAGGTTTGACTTGAAGTACAGACAGCAACACCTGTGTCCCTGTGATAAAGTTCTGAAGCTAAGATCTCTCAGCAAGCACAAAGCCACCCAGTCCCCAAAATAGATCAAATGTCCTCCCACAGAGATTGAAATTAAGGTGTACCAAAACCTGTGCTGATTGCAAGTGAGATTATGACCTGCAAAATGCTGGTCCTCAAATAGAACTGGCTTTGAACTGTTCTGAATTTAAGGAAGTGAACGTCTATAACAGAGACAAATAATCACATGTAGTACACAAATGCCAAAAGACATTGAATTTTAAACAAATGTATTTTACAAATAATAACTCTTGGCTATTTGGAAGTACAGAATATCACTGCAGGAGGAACCCCATTGGTGGAAAAAGCTAAGAACTTTTGGGCAGACAATCAACAAAGGAATATAAAATGTGCTCTTTGGGTTCCAAGCCCTTTTCTCCTCCAATTTTGTCTTCTTGGAGGTCAACTCTAGTGCTGCACCACAGGATTTGCTGAATAAACTTTCAGACTTGCTCATTGTCCTATGTTCTGAAATCTTATCATAATGAAGGGGGGGGGAATCCACATTTAGCAACAGCATTAGCACTTAGACTTATATATTGCTTCACAGTGCTTTACAGCCCTCTCTAAGCAGTTTACGGAGTCAACATATCGCCTCCAACAATTTGGGTCCTCATTTGATCAACATTAGAAGGATGGAAGGCTGAGTCAACCTTGAGCCAGTGAGAATCGAACTGCGGAACTGCTGGCTGCTGGCTACCATCAGTCAACAGAAGTAGCCTGCAGTACTGTACTCTAATCACTATGTCACTCTTTACTTATGATATCAATTACACAGTTATTTCCTTGAGCCCACACAATGAAAGCTTTGAGAAACACATCAGAGATATAAATACACAGTACTAACACTACACTAAAGATTTCTATATAACCTGGAAGACTCCAACTGGTGTTGAATTTGGTTCCTAGCATCTTCTGGAAGCACCAAAATCAGCAGATTTCTATTACACATTAAGAAGGAACAGTTTGTAGGAACTTTGAAGATGCTAATTGAGGAGTAGGCAATTTTTGGAGACAGAGGATGCACTTTTTGATCAATTTGGGGGGAGATGGCCATGGACCTAAGAAAGCATGTTAGCACTGTGATATTGTAAAAGGTTCTGACCCATTTTAGTGTGAGGAACATAGAATGCATTTCTGTATTCTGTAGAAGCAAAGTGAATTCCTTTTACTTTTGGTGTTCCAAACAAATGGTTTTGCATTTATCAGTGTACTCGGGTTTAAAAAGCATATTGCCCTATAAATTCAATAAGTAAAAGAGGCTGTGTTTTAACAAGCCACACATCCTTATACAGAACATGCTCAATATAAAACAATTCATGCATATACAGCCCTTCTTGTTTGAATAGCCTGATCCGGTATATGCATATTTGGAATATTGTGCACAAATATTCTCAATTAATTTCATAAAAATAAGATGCTCTGGATATTACCTCAATCTGAGGGCTTGTTGTAATTTCTTTGCCATCAGGAGAATAATGAGTCTCGCTGTAATCTTTTGAAAAAAGTCCCCTGGAAACAACACAAAGAAGACATTATTTAGTCTTGGGAACAGAGATAATTGCATAATAAGTCTACAACTACTGTATAATGGCATTTTAAGGATATTGTTTGGTATCAAAGGGAAGGAGCAGGTATTTCAATCTAATGAGGATGGTTATTCAAGAGGATTGCAGAGCATCCTGGATTCACCTTAGCAAAGAGATTTACACCAAGGAAGCTGTGCAATTCTCTTCATCAAGGCTCAGAGGAGAACAATTGATCAAGAGAAGACATTTTGTATTGCCTCTTCTTTGACTCTTCTGGCCAATACAACAACCAGATGAAGCTTCTAGGTCTGCAAAGGAGAGCAGTTTATCTCCTTTTATTCAAGACTAAAGGAGTTCAAATTGCTTCATGAAGCCACCTCAAGGGAAGGAATACTTTGAACCTTCATTCAGAAGCATCTCTCTTGACGTTCTGAATCAACACAATGGAGTTACTTTTTCCTCCTGCTGGCAATGCAGAGACATTCATGTACTTTCCTTGGCATTGCCTTCCATTTTTTCTAATATAGACATACACTGGGCATTTCTTACTGGTCTCCCACCTTTCGCCCTGGTTTTCTTCCAAGCCCAAACAAGGTCATCCAGATGCTACCCTTGACTTTCTACACATCCTTCATATTTAGACAATAGGAAAGGGTAACACGGCCATTTCTAAAACATATATCATCTAATTTAACATGAAATGTCTCAACAGTATAAGATAAAGTGACACCCACATAGGGCAGTTTCTTTACAGTTCATCCTTAATAATAAGATTAATGTACATTTAGAGGGCACCTATAGTATGATGAATAGAAAAATATATTCTAAAATCAAAAGCAGGAAGTCATTCCCAAAGCATTCAGTATGAATCTGGGTCTTAATGTTAATATTAAATTACATACATCAGGACTGCAGAGATTCTAAGCAACTGTTCCCATGTATTACCGTGCAGTGGCTGCTATACTAATTTCAACTTTGATGTGACATTTACTGGATTTAAGGCAATGAAAACGGCACACCTTCTTTTAGCAGTAGAAGTAGTTTATTTACATGGGAGAAATAGTTTCAGTCCATGTCTATTCCCCCTATTGAAACAAAGCTGCTAATAAAAATGCTAAGGCCTGGCTAGACGAGTCAGTGAAAGACCCAAAACCTGTTCCGCTGGTTAGTTATTATGCAGATATAAGCCAGGTGGCAAATCTATTTATTATCTTTATTAATATCTCGATTTACGGTTCAAACGGAGAACCACTGAGAAGAATGAAATGGCATTCTTAATAACAGCAAAAAAGGTGTGTTGAAATCTGGGTTTTTTAGGTCATGCCCCCTTTTCATGCCTTCTTAATAGGACGTGACATTTCATGCCTTTCATGCTTCAACATGTAAACGCTAATGTAAGTTGAGCAGCTATGTAGAGCTCTTAGGAAAAGTTATACAGATTGATGGGGTGTCTGTGGAGCAGCATAAATGTGCAAGCAATCATTTTTAAATCTCTGTAATATTTCATAACTAACCTAGGTAATTCAAGGGACAGACATTTATGAGCCTTGAATGGTTCAACTTTATCTAGAATTGTTATGGTCCAGCAGTGTCCCATAGAAAGCAGGAAAAATAAATTCTCAATTCCTGGGTAAGACATAATTAACATGTTCACTAACCATATCCCCTTCTTCTTTACAATAATTATATTTAATTTAACTCAATTAACTCATTTAATTTAGTCTTAATTTCCCAAACAAAGCAATACAATTTTAGTTTCTCTTGGATTGGGTCCAAGAATATATATTTTTCACATTGTCTTAATAAAGATAAGAGAACTTCTAAGTTAACTTACTTATTTTTTTCTAGGTGAAGGACCACTGGTTCTCCATTCACTTTAAATTCATATTGCATGGTATCATCATACTTAGTCTGAAATGCAAAGGGTTCAGGGTTGAGAGAACTAACAGCTGAGTATCCTTTTAAAAAATAGGCAAATAAAATGTGTGCATTCTTAACAACTCAACACCTCAACAACTTTCAAATGGAAAGTTCCAGCCAATTCATTTACTAGATTTGGATTATTTCATTTGGTGCTTGAAAGCCACTATAAGATCTTCTTAAACTTTTTCCAGAAGTTCAAGACTTTCTTGTCCAATTCAACATCTTGGTGAATAAGGTTGGGTTGGGACAGAGTGATTACTCAAAAGTCATTCCATAAACTTTTCCATGGCTGAGGATTGACTTGAATCGGGTCCTCAGTCTTAAACTTGACCTCTGCTCACTATATCATTTTCACCTACAAATACAACTTTTATATTTCAAAATGATGTATTCTGGGAAGTCAGAAAGGATGGCATTTTGCAAAAGCACTATGAGGCTGTATATAAGTCTAAGTACTATTGTTATTGCTATTGCTATTTTCATATTTCTTGGTTCACCGTTGTTACAGCTACCCATCAGCTTTTATGAAAGATGATCCAAGACCATAAAAAGGAAGAAGAGATCCCTCAAAGGATTAACACTATCTGTATTAGCTATAATAACCTATTAATATTGTGAACTTTGAATGTTGTAAGTTGCCTGGAGTCTCCCCAACTGTGTTGAATTGGGCGGCCATATGAATTTGTTTAATAATAAATAAATAATAATCCAAGCAGTTGTGTAGATTGCAATGCAAAAATCCAGATAAGCATTAGATGGCCGCAAAAGGATACAAAAAGCTCTCTTGGCTGACAACAAGTAGTTATCCAGACTTAATGATCCTGCACAATAGGATATTTCATGAAATATTAGGGCTGTGTAAGTTTCATTCAAACCACATCAAGTACAAATCTTGATATAAGTGTGCAAGGACTTTTCTCAGATTTCTGCAACTTTTGACAGATTTTTAAACAAAGTGAAAGAGACCTTTGAAAGTTTACGGTCTTATGAGATTTAGGGTATGTCTGTCTAAAAAGGAGGAAAATATTTTTTACTTGCAACTGTCTATAAAAATCCATCTATGCAAATATTATTCATAGTATTATTCAAAAGTCTCTAAGGACTGGACTAGGATCCTAGACAATACCAGATCCAATCTAAAAATGGAACAGGTGATAGTTCCAAATTATAACCATCCTCTAATCATCACTTTTCATATTCTATGAAATCTAACAAATATGTGACTTTATAACCACCCCCCTATATAAAGCAGAACAACCTAAACTTTACAAATGAACAATAAAAACAGTTGAGACTTTGCCTTAAGAATCCAATTGCAAAATTTTGAAAGTAATATAGTTTTAACTCTGGTTCACATGAATCTTGAGCAAACTCAGGGTCAGATTCATCGGTAAATAAGTTGATGAAGAGCAAAACTTTTTCTTACCGTTTGGTCAGGCTTCTGAGCTTCACCTGTGTCTCTTTTGTGCAATGCATGCACTTTTTGTGGATAGACTACTACATAATCCTTAAGCTTCCAGGACTCCTTTGTAGAGCTCCCTTCACAAAGAAAAAAAAAATTCACTTTAGTGTGTCAATTCTACCTTTTTCACATCTACAGCACTTAATCTGTTATTCAGTTACCGATGAAGAATGAAAGTAGTGGAAAACCACTTCCATCCTGCAGCCAAGCAACTACATGACCATTACCATGTAATTACCAGAAGCTGATTCGACTCAGGATTGTTTGTCCTGCAGTAAATGTTGCAACTGGGAGACTAGCAAAGTAATTGATTTATTTACTTTTTAATCTAATCTTTCTATCATGTTGTAAACATCTAATTAACCCCGTACACATTATAAAAAAAGGACAACAATAATTGTAATTGTAACTGCAAGTGAAAGTCAGGCAATAAAGTAAAATATGAATAAACACCCTGTGGAGGGGCAACTTAATATCCAAACACCTACAGCAATGATGGCAAACCTTTTAGAGACCGAGTGCCCAAACTGCAACCCAAAACCCACTTATTTATTGCAAAGTGCCAGGGCCGCATCAGCATTGTGGTTCCCTCAGGGAGGGCGGTGTGTGTGGCCCACTGGGTGGGCGTGGCCAGGGTGGTCACAGCAGACTGGGTGGGTGTGGCCAGATAGGTGTGGCCACCTCGATACTCTAACACAGGGATAGTCAACCTTGGCTCTTTTATGACTCGTGGACTTCAAGTCCACGAGTCATAAAAGAGCCAAGGTTGACTACCCCTGCAAGTCTAACATCTCTACTTGAGCTTGCTAGCCGGCCATTTTGCCTGCTTTGTGCTGGGCAGGGCTGCTGCTCTGGGCGGTGGCAGCCTAATGGACCTGCGTGAGCTGCTAGTGGCCGTGGTGCGCATGCCCACAGAGAGGGCTCTGAGTGCCACCTCTGGCACGTGTGCCATAGGTTCACCACCACTGAGGTAGAGAGTGACTGAAATCTAAGCATTTGGCCTTGGAAATGTATCTTCTGAGACTGATGGACATCTTCCAAATGTAGCCCCAGCCAGAAGTTTACATCTTCCTCATACTTTTATATACCTGCCCATTTGTACCTGATGCTCCCAGAAACATGGAAGAGGTACAATTGCTTGCCCTACTGGCAAAAAAGGTTACTATTCTCTCCTGCTTAGGGCACAGAAAAAGCAGCAATTCCACATTCATTTCTTCTTTACCATATTGTTCTCCATCAATTATTGTTCTAATTTTGGAAGTTTGCCTCCTGGTAAGAGCAAACCCCATTTTTCCTTGCTTTTTTTAAAAAATCAGGGCTACTCCAGTGAGCTTCTGACTCTTAATGGTGTTTGGGCAACCATCTGAATCAGTTGAGTATCATTATTTGTAATGATAAGTGGGAATGACTTAGGAGACAGCAGGAAGAGACACAGACTGATCAACAGGCATGTGAAAGGTATCTTAGCCCACAGAAGAAAGGAGAACGTGGGAAGCATTTCAGAAGGAATCATCCCTGGTTTTCTGGAGAGTAAAAGCAGAGAGGGAAGCAATAATTTCAATCTGGCAAGATGCTGTTAATGTAACTTTACAGAGAACTAATATTCATGGCTGTGCTTGTTGCCTGGACTACCTCAGAGGGCTAATATTATTTTCATTGCTATGTGTTTTGAATAAATGCATTCTCTCACTATGCTTTTGGACAGCAAATAAATACTGTACGACTAAAGAAATAAATACATAACCAGCTTTCTTTCATTCCATTCCTCATTGTCCCTGTTGTAAGTAAAATGTAGATGTTCCCAGGGCCTGAGGCTACTGTACGAACTGCTCTTCAACCAGAAACTAGAAATCTCCCTGCCTTCAGCTTTAAAAGTAAATAGTCTGAGTCCCAAAGATATGGGTGAGGGTTGGGCTGTGAATGAGTGTAAGCGGTTTTATCAAGAACATATAAAGTCAAGGATGAATCGGTCAGAGAGGGAATTATTAATCACCTACACCTGAAATAGACTCTGAGATGAGCTGATAAGTCCATTCTGAAAGTCCCTTTTGTAATGTTCATCAGAAGATGAGTGGGATGCCAACAAAGATTTAAATATTTCTCTACAATTAGGGATATTTCCCTAATCCTAAAGGAAATGAGTATCTGAGCAGAGAAACAAAATGCTCCATCTCCTGGTTTATGATTCAGAATAATTCTATACATACATATATGCATGCTCAGGACTTTGCCTTCTTGGATTCTAACATGGCCTTCCCAAACCCTTGACTAACCTTTATCTACCGTATTATACTGGTTATCTGCAATAACTCAGGGTGTCATGTCATGCTGTGGATAATTTGCCAAAAAAAAGCATTTTGTGGACAGGGACATGTTCTGTTGGAGGCTTTTCTCCCACAAACACTATTTTATTTTATTTTATTTTATTTATTTATAAAACAAAAATTATAAATTCCAATGAACAACATGAAAGAACTAAAATGTGACAGGGACCATAGGCATATTAGTTGCACTTAGGCATGCCCCCTTAGGAACCTCTTTAATATGGAATGAAGTCCACAGAAGTTAATTTGGAATTAAAACTGAGACAGTTAGTAATTGAAACAACTGAATCAGGTTAAGATATTCCAGACTTTGACAACTCTGTTACAAAAATTGTTTTGTTTTACAGTCAGGTTTAAAGTAGTTTACAGTAAGTTTAAAGCAGTTGTTTGCACACACGTTACAATTTGTTGGAGGCGATATAAATGTACCAATATTGGACACGGACAAAGCCAAAAGCAAGAAGGGCTGTTAATCATTCTCCTTCTCTAATGTTCTCCTTCCGTCTTGCCTTCCTCCTCATACAGCAGGCTGCAGAAAAAGAGGATGGTTGTTTTTTTGTCAGAGATCTGATCCCTCCCAAAAGGCCCCTGAAATTAATACACATATGCCTGAAGAACTATGTTAATCTGGAATCATCCCTTCAACAAGGACTGTTTCACAAGGGCTGTTCTTTTCACACAGGTCATGAGGGAACATGCCTTCAGCTGCTTACTTCTTTGAAAACCACCTGTATATTTATAACACCTAAGCCCTAATGCCAGCCTGAAGCTATGAAACAGTAGTAGTGGTGAGTAATTCAGAGAGGTTTTTTTAAAAAACTGTGCAGACAACCTACACTTGAGCTTGAATAATAGCAAACTAATTAGGGAGTAAATAGGTCCATATTACAGGTCATTACATAGGAATGCTTGACAGTAAAGGAGCAGGATATACTATATCCATAGTATGGATCCTACATAGCAAGCTATGAATGGTAGAAATAACTCAAAGGATGCCAAAAGTATTGTCTCTGGTATGACTCTTTCAGAAGAACATAAACAAGTAGAACAGATTCAAAACATGGTGAAGATGGTCAAGGGTGTATAACAATCCCTATAACAGAGGTGTACATTCCCATCCCCCCCACCAAGGGCTATATTTGATCTTTAGGTACCATACCTGGCGTTTACTCCCAAAAGTGGCTATGACCAATCCAAAAACTGGATTTCATTTAAATTAAACTTTAAATTTAAGGTTAAAGATTAGAACTTCTACTGGCGTATATTTTAAGGTTTGGCACACTATTCTCTTCTATTCTTCCTTTTTGGCAAGCAAACATTCAGTTACCTCATTAGAGGGAGTGGTAGAAACAAAATTCTCAATTCTGGAATGCTTTGAAAGCATGAAGTCATGTTTAATTTTTCATAAGAAAATGGATGGATGTGAGGAACCTGTGAGCTAACTTCAAGTGGGGTTCACACAAAGAATGATTTGGCCTGAAATAACACAGTGTCTCCTTCCCTGTGAGGAATTGTTGATTTGTCTGGTTAGGAACTTGTTTTTTAAATAGAAACTCAGAAACTTCTAATTAGAAGAACCTCTAAAGGAACAATGGCTGTTTATCTGACCATATAGAGTAAGATTTCCCAACCTTGGCAATTTCCAGATGCGTGAACTTCAACTCCCAAAATTCCTCAGCCAGCTTAGCCATTTCTCAGAATTCTGGGAGCTGAAGTCCTCTCATCTTCAATTTGTAAAAGATGGGAATCCCTGGTATATGGTTTCTTGGGTATCTAATGGTCCAATGGACACTTCCAGGAGCAACACAATTTGATCTATAAGAGTTCTTTGCCAGCTACCGTGCTCCATAGAAATGAATTAGAAGGACAACTTAGAAGATTGGGAGATACATGCTCCATTTATCTAGATCAGAACAGATTTCTGGTCAAATCTACCAGCATTGTCCTGCGATCGATCTGCTAGCAGTGAACAATCCACCTTTTTCAAGTGTTGCTTTTTAAGGAATCGGGTGTTTTGAAACAATTACTCTGTGTTCCCTGACTACAGTTGATTTTAAATCAGTAAGTAGATACAAACTAGTTTCAGTGGAGGTGTTCAGAATCTATTTTGGGTAAGGCAACCTGAAAGTAAATTATCCATCAGAACCTGGGGAACAGAACGTGCCACCAGCTAACACAAGACTTCATCTGTGAGGCAAGCAGAGATTTGGCTGTTTCAGTCAGGATTATGTAAGGAGATTGGCCAAGGAAATATCCCCATCTCTTCCAGGTTATTGAAATGCTGCTGTGTGCTGCTACTGCTATAGTTGCTGGATCAGATCCTGAAGACAGAAATTATTCCAAATCTACAGATTTGCCTCTTTTCCATGATTCGTTATATAGACCAGTGTTTCTGAATTTGGCTATATAGACCAATGTTTGCCAACCTTAGCAACTTTAAGATATGTGGATTTCAGCTCCCAGAATTAAAATTCGACTTCTGGGAATTGAGGTCCACAGATCTTAAAGTCACCAAGGTTGAGAAACACTGACATACAGTAGACTATAAAACAATGTGAGTTGTGATGGCACTGGATCATTTTTTTAGTCTACAACACACAACCACATGGGAGTGTTCAATACAATTGCTTCTCAACATACACTTACTTAGATTCTATCAGCCTTCAGATGGGTTAGCCTTTATGCTTGGCCAATATGCTTTAACGTGTAAAAACTCTATGAAAAATCATCTAACTGATGTATTGTTAATGTAAGTTGCTCAAGAACCATTTTTTTAAAAAAGGAAACTTTCCTGTTTTACTTCTTTTACATGTCAGTCTCCCTGATGCAAGATTTTTAAATGTAAACTTTCTCTTCTTAAAAAAACACAAGGCTGCAATTTTCCCAGAATATTGAGTACAGGTAATCCTTGACTTACAACCATTCATTTAGCAGCTGTTTGGATTTACAATGGTGCTGAAAAAAGTGATTTATGACCACTTACAACTGTCACAGTGGCCCTGTGATCATGTAATCATGATTTGGGTACCGGGCAATCATTATGCATTTACAATGGTCACAGCATCCCCTGGTCACATGATCATCATTTGCCACCTTCCCAGCTGGCTTGGCACAAGCAAAAAGCTGGCAATCAGTCAGAAGTCACAGTAATGTGATGTCTCACTTAACAACCACAGTAAAAAGGTTGTAAAATCAGATACGATCACAGGATACCTTACTTAATGACTGCACCAATTAACAACAAATTTCCCTGTCCCTATTGTGATTGTAAGTTGAGGATTACCTGTAGTGTACTTTTTTCCCTGGGGGTTTAGGGAGAAAGGTGAATGTTAAAGGAGTTGGATATTAATATTTGCATTACTATATAGAGTAAGTTTAAGGAAAGGGGCGCAATGGCCTAGCACAGTGGTTCTCAACCTTTTTAATGCCGCAACCCCAACCGGTCGTAAGTCAAGGACTAAACCGGTCTTACGTTGAGGACTAAACTGGTCATAAGTCGAGGACTAAACCGGTCATAAGTCGAGGACTACCCAACTGGTCGTAAGTCGAGGACTTTCCCTGCCCGGGAGTGCCGTGCATGCGTGGTTCCGCCCCCTGCGCTGGACGAGGCATAGCTGGCAAGCGGCAGAGACGGAGCAGGCCGACCACCAGCTGGCCCAGCCCAAGGGAGGTAAGGCACCCGCCGGAAAAGGGGAAAAAATGGCGGACAAAAAAAATGGCGGACAGCCTTGCTTGGCGACCCCCGTGAAATGGTCGATCGACCCCAGATGGGTTCTCAACCCACAGGTTGAGAACCACTGGCCTAGCAGTTCAAGAAGCTGAGCTTGTCAGCTGAAAAGATGACAGCCTGGATTTGAGACTTAAATGCTGCATGACTGGGTGAGCTCCCATTATTAGCCCGAGTTCCTGTCCACCTAGCACTTCAAAAGCTTGCAAACATGAGTAGATAAATAGGTACCCATTTGGTGAGAAGATAACAATGTTCTGTGCTGGCCATATGACCACAGAAGTATCTTCGGACAATGCTGGATCCCTTGGCTAAGAAACAGAGATGAGTGTCACCCCCTAGGCACAATTGAATAGGGGGAACCTTTATCTTTGAGTTTAAGGAATTGGAGATGGGGAGGGGGGAGAAAAGTAGCATGTGAGGAATTGAGTTTGGAAGATGAAGAGGTAAGGTAGTATCCCAAACTCCAGTTAACCGCACATGCTTTATTGCAAATAGCAGGCTTGGAGAAAGAGGTGGGAGAGAGTTAAAGGCATCTCTTTCCATGCCACCGTGCTGATTCTGGTTGATCAGGTCCAAGTGTGCATATTACACAGTGAATTCTGATCCAGTTCCCCATTCCCTTCAGATATCGTAAAGCAACCGGTCTCTGCCTCTACTTACAAGAAAGACACTGTGTTTTCTCCTTCCTGACTAACATTATCTTGCATAGGAAAGGCGCACAAATGGAAGAAGCATAGGGTGGACTAGAGGTACCGTTTTTGAAGCTTAGATGGTCTTCAAGGACTATATATGCCCCGTGAAGTATGTTTTGCAGTAGTCCAATCAGGAAGTGACATAAGACATGAGTAAACGCAAGCAGGGCCTTCCAGCTCAGGAATGGACACAACTAGTACAAAAATGCAATTGTGCAAAGGTCCCCCTGGCCACAGCTGCCACCTGCTCTTCAAGTAGGAGCTATAAATCCAGAAGAATCCCCAGATTGCTCGTCAATTCTGAATGGAGTGTGCTATTCCATGCAGAACCAAAGATGGAAAGACTCCATGTTCCTAAGGTGGTGCCTCCCACTTCTAGCCCCCTGAGCAGCCTTTGATACCATGGTTGATAGCATCAAAGGCTGCTGAGAGATCAAGGGAATCGGGATGAATGCACTGCCCACATCCTAGGCTTACCACAGATCAAAAACAAGCGTGACCAAAGTAGATCTTGGTACTGTAACCCACTCTGAATCCTGCCTTGAAAGTGGTTCATGCCACAACCTTAAACCAGCATGCTACACTGAGCCCTATTTAAATTTACCACCTAGAGATACTGTATACTAAACCCCAAAACTATATAACAAAAGGTTATAATTGAGTATATCCCATTAGTGGATACCCCTGCCAGGACTTCCACCAAATTAGTTAAGCATGTTTCATGAATACAGCTTTCCATACCATACTAAATAAATTTTCTCAGAAGTCTGATATGAAAGGGAAAGTGTTTAAGGTCATAGTTAACATGGATTTTAAAGAAAATTCACCTGTGCTAACTGGAAAATGAAATCTGCATTTCTGTGCTGCCAACTGGCAGAAATCTGAGAATCTTGTATGGAGAAAAGTAAGTAGTGTCACATTAGTTTGAGTACAGTTTGAAGATTCTCTGAAGATAACAACAATAACATCAGCTTTTGTTTGGCTGAACATTAGGCAAGCTTAATTACAGGATGTCTATTGGAAGAAAATTAAAACTGAAAAATATTTATTTTTCCTTTAACATTTTGCTTCCTGAAATTTTCTTCTAACAAACTCTCTGTCCTCTTCAGTCTTCTAATCTGTTTTTACTCATATTGTTGGAAAACGTTCCCTCTAACCTGAACATGCTTTCTTTCTTAGGATCTTAGGACTTTTCTTTCTTAGGATCCATTTCCTCTTTGACAACATTTAAGCAAATACAAAAAACCCTCTATGTAATTTTAACACAAACGAAATCTTTGAGAGCATTCTTTTGGTTAGTTTGGGGCAAGTGCTTGTTAATCATCAAAAGAAAAACCATAGAAACCTGTCAGGTCTTTTAGCCGTAAGAATCTGAAAAATGAAACTGATGAAAAATCTTACCTTGATATGGAAAGATTGCTAAACATAGAGTAACCAACAGAGCTTGGATCATTTTGGATCCTGGATTTGGCTGGAGGACAAGGAATCTCTTTCCACTTTCAGGCAATTGGTTGTCAACCTGAGCTGCTCTCCTGTTGACTGTGAGAAGCAAGTAATGAGTGCTTCAGCTTTATTCATGCCCTTACATGAGGAAGTGTTTGCTAAAGGTGTTGCACAACTTCAGACTTGCAACAGTACTACTAGAGGGCAGGTTTCCAGCTGGCTTAGCGCATGTCACTCCAACAGTGATAGCTGGAAGGATCCTTTCAGGGCATCCCTCAAAGCCAGAACCCCAAAGGAGGGGATTAAGTGGTCACAGCAGAGCTCTCCCTGTCTGGCATACTAATACAACTAAATTTGGGTGCTCGTGTGCAAGGGGTATTAAATGCCAAGGAGAAGACAGCAGTGAGTTGTTTTTGTAGTATTTTGTGAGCAAGAGGCACTTTTTTGAACAATCTAGCATCCTTTCAATGTTGCTAGGATTTAGTGATACCGGTAGTTGCTAATCAGGAAGTATAGTGAGATGACATGTAGCCTCTGAAAAATGATGTTATTGTGGGAAAGACTGAATCCATGTCAGTGTATCTGCCAAAGGGACCCCTGCCTTCACTACTTTATGCCACAATAGATCTTTCGGTTTGTAGAGAACCCAAGACCTTTTTGTTATTCTCTTAGTATAATACCTCCACGAGCCTCTCCATTTTCTGGAAAGGAAAAAAAAAAGGAGATTTATATGTTGGTTGTCCAAATGTCAGCTGCATTAATATGCACTCAAAAGGGTTTTTGAAGGGGAACTATGAGATGAATCACAGAGCCGAGTGAATCATTTTCAATTGCCTTAAGGGGACCCATTTTCCCCTTATAATCTCTCCTTTTGTCTCTACCTGGGATCGGCCTCTACAAGGCCAAAATAAAGAGGAGTGTGGAAAAAGGGGGCAGAACCCACCCTCCTGTGAAAGGCAAAGTAGAACTCTTTGGTGAATGAAAAGGAGAGAAAAAAAGATCTACTTTTGATTAATCTGTTTGGCAATTTTTTGGGGGGGGAAGAGAAGCCACAGTAGAAATAGCTTCATTCCAAGAGGGCAAAGTGAAAAGGATCTTCTCTTTATTTAAAAACAAGAAGGTATGTGAGCCTGTAAAACTCTCTTTGGTAGCCTGCTTGTTTTCTTTCAGAACTTCTGACCTTACCATCATTAACAATCCTTTCTTGCAATGGCACCAAAGTAATTAAAAATTGCAAGCCTGTCTAGGAGAAGAGATGTAAAAGTAGCCTCAAGCCACATCTTAATGCCGATTTTAACCTTTCTCTTAGAGGGGAGGATAAATGATAAACCAGCGTTACAATATATGCATGCCTCTGCAAGTATACACCTGCCTTTAATGCTTTTCTTATCTCAGTTTGATGCTGGCCTTAATAATAATAATAGTAAAGTTGGAAGGGACCTTGGAGGTCATCTAGTCCAACCCCCTGCTCAGGCAGGAAACCCTATACCATTTCGGACAAATGGCTGTCCAGTCTCTTCTTAAAAACTTCCAGTGTTGGAGCATTCACCGCTTCTGGAGGCAGGTTGTTCCACTGGTTAATTGTTCTCACTGTCAGGAAGTTTCTCC